TTTTTCTTCTGCTTGCAATCGCTGTACGCCTCATGCTTGCTTCTCAAATGTCCATTGAGATTTGTTGTGTTAACCAGCCTAATATGCCTGGTAAAACATACCTGTAAAACCTATGGCTGACTTTAGAACCACCCCCTAAGTGTGTATTATTATAAACCTTCAGTAGAATAATACAACAAATATACAACTTCCACATATAGGAAAGATAACAAAATAACATAAGAATAACAAATATTTATCAAAACAATAAGTTAATAAGAGTTTGGCAATAAAGTGGCACTAACCTTGTGGAGAAAAATATTAAAACAAATCCACTTTCAGCCCAAAAATTTAAATTACTCACAGCGCCTTTCTTAAGTATGGGGAAAAAAAACAAGACGTCTGTTGTGGTTTGTTCTGTTTGATTTGTTCACAACATTTTACTTTTGCTTACAACCAACATGCATTGTCAATGCTAGGAAAAATGTAGTTACCCCAGCTTTAGTTTAGCGAGTTTAGTTGTGCTTCGGTACAAGACACGGGGAAGACACATGGACCGATCCTGAGGCTTTATAATCCAGCTCTGTTTCTTGAAGCAGCACAGTTTATGCAAAGACTCACATTTTCAACAAGCGAGGAACAGCCTGTTAGCGAGTTATGGCCACGTTACGGCATTTGTTGAGCTTTTGTCAAAGCGGCTCACAGCCTTTGGAGACGGGAACCACTGTCATTACAAAGCGGCTCGCTGTTTCTCCGGTGTCAGAACGCTGCAGCAATGGAGGATGTGGAATCCTGTTCGAGTACGAACAGCAAACAACAGCGAGTACCCCGCGGTCAACCATTTCACTGGAACACGTATTGCGAACTACATAACGCTGATCGTTTTCTGATACTGTTAAATATATCCGCTATCTTTTCACACACGCATACCAGTGAATGTCATATGTTTTTGCCGATGGTAGTTGAAAGAACATCTGCCAAACCGATGTTCAGCCGATGCATCATGCATCCCTAGAAAATAGCCTAATTAAAATAATGTTTCATCATTTAGGACCGCTTTTATGGTATTTTTCTTGTACTTTTTGTCACTGTGATGGGTCATTTTGACCCAAGGATAGTGAGATGCATTATTTGTGGGATGTCTTGTGTGTGTCTTCAACTTAAGCTAATGCAAGCAAAATTGTTACAGTAGGGCTGGTTGATATGGCTGAAAACTATATCACAATATAAGTAATTCATATCGGTCGATAACGATATATATTGATTGTTTTTTATTTATTATTTTAAACCTTAATAAATACATTTGTCGTGTCGGCTAACACATGTTAGCAGCCTTGTTTACAGTCACGGGGGAATGAGGCTGGAGGCCAATGTTCACAAGTAGTCTCCCCCATAGTTAGTCCTGGTTTATTTCTGGTTTAGTCCTGGTTTAGCTCCTGATTTGGCTGTTTTCAAGTGTCTTGTGTCCCTGTGATGGCTCCGGAAAAAGTTAATCTCTTGCTTTTGCCGAATGCATCGAGTCTCTGTACCCACTGCCTCTCCCGCGCCACACATGCTGTTCCTCGCACGGACGTGCATAACTATTGACACGGCACTGAAATACGATCTTTAGATCCATGGTCCATGGACACTACGCATGGTGCGGTTGTTGTTTTTGCATTTCCCAGAATGTTTTGCGGTTTGTGTTTTTTCTAACGGAGTGAAGTGAAACTATCGAACATTCTATCGACCCCGTTTTCTATTGATATCGAACACGTGTCTATCGCAATATATATTGTTATAGTTTTATCGCCCAGCCCTACCATACAGCTTAAGAAATCCCAGACTAAAAATGTGTTTCTAACGTTTATACTTCCTTGTTTAGCGTGCAGCATTTTAAGCATGTACTGTATTGCTGACATGTTAGTTTGGGTGGACTGACACACTGACACACATATCCTCCTTCGCCCTCAGCCTCCAATGACTCTGTGTATTTGTACAGTATTTTAACCTGCACCAGCTGTGTCCACAAACGGACTGCATTCCCCCCTTCAGCTCGGGGACACAACTCTCACCCCTTCGGCCAATTGGCTCTTTCACTTCAACGAGACCTCCTCCAATCAGCACATTCCCTTCAGGACATGGCTCTTTGGCAGACCGTGCAGAGAATGGGTGGAGTAGCACTCATATCCTGTCCCCTAACCTCACAAAGCGCACTCAGGCAAACTTGGTGTATATTTGTGGCCATTCAAAACACCACATTCTTGCTCTCAAAACATGCAGGAGTATAGCAGCTGTGTCTAGTGCCAGGCTGTGTGCGCACAAGTCTAAAACAACCAAAGCTCTGTTGAGCTTTACTGGGACAGTTAAGAGTTTATGTATAGAGCTTATTGATACCTGCCATTACAGTAGACGGGCAGATTGAAGACGGTTGCAACGGCACAAATTCTGTTTGCTGATTGGGCGGTGAGAAAACTGATGTGAGACTTGAGTGCAGGGGAAGTGGTTTACTTATTTGTTTGACTCATTTCCTCAGAATGGTACTTTTTTCTTTTTTTCTGTCATTAGTGTAAGAGATATGTTCATATGTTTTGGATTTAATAAACATACATCAGCTGTATAGTGCAGTGTCTTTCAGCCATCCTGTCTAATTTATAATGGGTATGCACTTGTCATTCCAACCTAATTTAGCCCTGATTAATTGTGTCCTAGTTAAGGTCTGCTTCAGTGTGCAAGTGCTATGACCCCATGACCTACTTTTTGGTTCTTGGGTCACCAGGTTTATGTTCCATCATGTATGCACTGGGCTGAAGTCGACTTTAGATTGTTTTTGGTTAAATACAAACTAAATTCATACTTAGTGGTTGAAGATTTACAATAATTTAGTTTATCCATTTTCCGTCAATTTTGTGAAGTCCTCCAAGGCGTCTGCTGTTGTTATTCAGGGCTATACAAAAATGACTTGAAGGGAAGAAAAAAATGCCTCGTCTTTTCTCACTAGTTAGCATCACTCATTTTGTTCTCCTACTAAGTAAAATATTAACTTAGGGGATCTTTCTATCAGGGCATGTGAAAGTATCGGGATAAATATTGTGCATCCTCCCGTATCCTGGAAATACCCATCTCTGTTGCTTTCATTATTAATTTCATTATTTAACTTTTTTTATCAGCCATTTAACTGACTTGCCTTTATTGCTCTATTTTCCTGGGATATTATATTAACATGTAACACAAAAGTAGGGTTACTATCCAACCTTCAGTTTCTGTATTCAACACTCTTTATACAAGTCAGAATTTATCTTTTATTAGGCACTTATCCCCTCTTTTGTGCGCAGCTTTGAACTTCTCAATCCAAACAAAACCTCTTCAGTTACACAATCAATCTGACTGCTGTACCTCCTGTCCTGTATCTTTCTTTATCCTCACATTATGAAGGCGTACTACATAAGAGCCATTATTTATTCTGGAGTGTTGTGTGAGTCTATGCATGAATGCTTGAGGCCGGACACCCCCCTTTTTTAAATGGAATGACAAAGCGCCAATCACTCGCTGCTCTCTAAAAGGGGCCTTACGTGGTTTTGTTGGCTGGGTTTTGTTCCCTCCCTCTTGTGCGTTTCTCATGATTTCAGAGAGTTGTGAAAGCTCCAGGCCTGAGGAGGAGCTGCCCTGATGAACATAGTTATTTTTTCACACTCAGAGTTTTCCACAGTCAGCATCTGGAAAATTGATTCATCTGTGACTCCATTCACAACCTGCTCTCCATTATGGTCTAAATGCCGAAATAATAGTGGAGAAATGGTCACACATATTCCTGCAGTGCTGCTAAACAAAAAACAGGGTTATTGCAGTTATTTAATGTTGAATTCATTCAGTTAGTGCCACATGATTCATGTCTCTCAATTTAAAAGCACGTATGCAGATAATTGCGATTTAGCAAAGTTGAGGTTTTGGCTCTGTTCCAAGGTAAACAGCTTTCTTTTTATATCTTCCCTTGTGATCTGGGAACCTAAACTACGTTACCAGTACTTGAATTATACAAAGTAATGGTATTCTTTCTTTTTTCGTTTTTAATTATCATAAATTGTATTTGGCTGAACCCAATCGGTAAACAGCAGTGTTTGTGCTTTGGGCTTGTCCCGGGTTAAAGGACTTTGACTCTACAAACTTTGACTTCAGAGTTCTGACAGACCCATTGCAGGGAGGAAAGGATGGTGCTGCTCTCTGTTTGGGGAGATATATTTCAGAGTTTGCTCCATGTGAAATTGGCTCATGTTCTGTTTTCCATCACAGTTTGATACAGCTTTTGGCCCATTGTTCTGCTCCTGTCAAGATTATCTGTTGTAATCATATTTTAAAGGCCGTAGGAGGGATTTAAACTCTCCAAATGTTTGTAGACCTGAGCAAAAACAATAGCATTATCAGTTTGGATTGTTGTAATAGTTTTGAGCCCTCAACATGTTCCCCAGATTTAGTTGAAAGAGGATTATTGCGCTGGCCCCATGCTGCAGATGTATTAACTAAAGCTGAGTCTTTGAATGGTTTGCATGTTTGCGTTTTGTCTTAATTACAGCCAGGGTGAATGAAAGAGAACTGCTGATTTATTTAAGGACATTTACAAAGTTTAATAAAACAAATTCAAAGTTATGTCAAAACTTATCACGTAATGTTCCAAAAGCAGTTCATATTTTTTTGGATGGTTTCATGGCTTGAAAAAAAGGACCCTGCCATTGTACCACTTCACCAATACCATTAGCTAGGACTGCCGCAAACATTTACTCAAACTACATGGCCTTTGTTTGTCCAAAATTTTATATTTGGGGGTAAATATAAGCTGCCATTCTGTTATTATGAAATAACAAGGAAATGTGTCCAGGTTGTTCTGTAAATTTGTGTTTTCTATTTTTCAATACTGTGTGCCTTTTAACAAACTCAGTACAATAGTTTTGGTACTTTTGACAACCTGATTGGAATTTCAGTAGCAACTCTAGTTGGCTCCTCACAAACAAACGCTAACGGCATGGTGTCGTTTTCTCTTTTCTCAGGCGACATCACGCAGAAAGGCTATGAGAAGAAGAAGGCCAAGCTGCTCTTCTCCTACCTCCCCCAGCTGCCAAGTAAGACCAGTTTTGCCGCTGCGCCGCCCAGCTCTCCTGACTCACGTTCTGCCGCTCTTGTGCAACGGGAGAGGAACACTGACACACACATTAGTCATGACATAGTTGTTGAGTTATGTTGCAATTAAACTCTCCCCCAGACTTCTACAGTCATGTGGAGCAGAGGGAGATTTGGAAATGTCACCAACTCCTTTTTGGACACTGTTCAAATGTGGCTTTGTTTGGGTTGAGCTCTCACTTCTGGTTCTGCACTGACCTCTAGTGGATGATTCATGTAATTAAACAAATGTGTGCGTATTTAGAAGTACTTGTTTATTTTTTCAAAGTTAAACATCAAAACTAAGTATTGTTGTTCAAATGCCATATATGGTCAATCTTTAATCTCTTTATAACATGCTTTCCCGACTGAGTAAAAATGGTATACAAGTGAAGCACTGTTTTCAGTAAGTGTGGTCACACCATCAAGAACACTTGACCCATAGTCCTTTTTTATTCCCACTCTGTCGTGGCTTTATTTCATCAGGCGTTTGTCGTTTTTGATGCATTTCCTAATCCTCTAAAATGTACGTCTGGGATATGTCTGGCCAAAACAGAGTCTCTCTAACAATGGCACTAATACGGAAACTAAATATGTTTTTTTTAAATCCAGGATGTATTGGTTTTTTTTTTTCTCATTACTCTTGCAGATGCAGAACTGTCTCTCCCGGATGTGCAGTTGTCCCCAGCTCACAGTGGGGACCCCAGCCCTGAGGCCCCGGGCCCCTCCTCTGCTGCCAAACACCACCGTGCTCACCGCAGCGGAGGAGCCCGCGACGAGCGATACAGATCAGGTAGCGCTAACGGCCTTAATTATCTTGGTCTCAATACCTTTTACTTGGTTTGATTGGTGTTTTTCTGTCTGATTTGTCAACAGACATCCACACAGAGGCAGTACAAGCTGCTCTGGCCAAGCACAAAGAAGAGAAGATGGCTCTGCCCATGCCAACCAAAAGACGCTCTGCCTTTGTCCAGTCTCCCATGGACGCCTGCACTCCTCCAGGTGAAGCCTCTTTACAAGGCGCTTAAAAAATTCACATATACTTTATAACACTCTCCTTCTTCTCAGATACATCGTCTGCCTCTGAAGACGAGGGCTCTCTGCGCAGAAAGGCAGCTCTAAGTGCAGCTTTGGCCCAGAGTCTGCAGAGTCCTGATTATTGGATCAACCGATCCGTCCAAAGCTCTTCCACATCCTCCTCCGCCTCCTCCACCCTCTCCCATGGAGAGCCTAAAAGCCAGCCCCAGCCACAGCCCTCGCCTGCTGCCTCTGTGCTGGCAGACGTACTGGCACACACAAGAATAGGTAGAATAACCACAAAACCATCACCATTGAACTACAATATGTTGTATTTCCATTTAAAACATAAAATCAGAAATAACAAGTGTCAATCTAAAAGTCAAATAGGAATTCCTTTCCTTTTACAGCTTTAGAGAAATTGATACCGACAAAGATAAATGGTCAGTAATGAAATATTTCTGCAGTTGGCCTTAAAGGAGCTATACCCGTTTCTGCAGGGTTTTTTTCAGTTTGAATGTTTAGCACCACCCCCCAACTCGCTCACAGGCTTCACAGGTTTTATTTGCGATCTGATACGTATGCAAACATTGGCATGAGCCAAACTTTTTGTAAGTGGTACAACAATCACTTATGAAATGGTACAAAAGCAACGCACTGCTAACAAAACATATAACTGAAAGATTACCGCTAGTTTCACGTCCAAACGTAGTCTGAGCATTGAGTCCGAGGCAGTTCTCTTTGATAATTTTTTCGCTTTAGTTCCCTCTTCTATTCCTCACTGTTGCGTTGTTTGGGCTGTTTTTGCTGTGTCTGCAGTTATAGCCAGAGTATGTACAGTACAGCCACTATCAGCTCCATGCAGCTCTTGTTTACCTACGCTGTAGACGCTAGAAGAGGCGCGGCCTGTTCGTAACAGCGCCGCTCCTCATTCTGTGAGCTAGCGTCACGCTAAGTTTCTTCTCAGCACTTTTTACGGCCTGAATCAATGAGCTCAATTTTTCAATTAAATAACGGATTTTAATACAAGTTGTATGTAGTAATATGCATTTTCATGAACTCATTAGAAAATAAATTGGGTATAGCTTCTTTAATCAATGCATGGCACAAGTGCCCAAGACACAACAATCTGTGCAGAAAAGTGCAAAGAACATTTCCTTAATATGCCTTAAATATGAAAAAAAAAGTTAGATTATTAAATACAGAATGAATGCTTATTCATAGTTTTTATTTAATTATATATATATGTATGTTTGTCCAGAGAACAGTGTCCCTCCAGATGTGACGACCACCACTCCTCAGGACAGGGGCTCCCGAGTGGATTTGGCCCCTGCCGTTCGCGGCATGAGTCGGGGACAGAGCCGCTCCAGCATGTTGGAGACAGCTGATGGTACAGTCAAATTCACCCTTTTAGTTATTGCTTGTTTAGTAGTTTTAGTAAAAATGGTAGATATTTGATGTGTGGAAAGGGCTTCTGGTGTCCTGCTTCACATCATACTGTACATGTGCATGGCTTTGGAGATTACCAGTGATTGTGTTGCAGTACTGTGGTTTTAGTCCATGGGCTGATTTGATTTTGATACCTGACCTGCTCATATCCATTCAGTTCACATCCATCCTCATTTCACTGCTAATGACAAATGTGTTGTCTTCTTTCTTTTGGGTCCACTTAATCCGTGCGTGTTTGATTTTAAAAAAAGGAAAAACAAAAGGTAATCTATTCGTGTCTGGGGTTATGGGGAGGGGTGCTGAAAAAGCTCAAATCAGTCTGTTTTTTCATTCTAATGTCTGTTTATCTGATGTCTCGTGTTGTAGTAGAATTAGTAAATCCTTTGTGACTCTTAAAGATTGTTCCCTATGTGTCAATCTCCAGTACAAATTTTCCTTTTCAAATCCTTCCTTTGCCAAACCTGCTCGTCTGTATTTGGGATGTCATGTCTATGCAGCTGCATGTGTAAAAATGTGTTGTATATGTGCTTACTGGTTCCTAATTGTTTTCATATTTTTATCAAGGCGTGCCGGTCAATAGCAGAGTGTCCACTAAAATCCAGCAGCTCCTAAACACTCTTAAACGACCCAAAAGACCTCCGCTCAGTGAATTCTTCCTTGATGATTCCGAGGAAATTGTGGAAGGTAAAAATATAGAAATACTACTATTTATACTAATTTTCTACTCCATTAATTAACTCTTGCCTTATATAAGGCGGAAATAAAAGAAACAATGAGGGCCTCGGCTAGTATACCAGAATGAATGCACTAGCAGTCAGTTAGTAGGTACAATTCAGAAATGTTTCTGTAACAAAAACTCCCAACTTTATTTGAAGCGACAGTTTTAAATATGCATTAGTGGTCTAATAAAGCCATTAAACTTATAATCAAAGGTTGCCAGAGTAGGGACACATATAAAAGATGTAGACGCAGGGTGAAAATCATAACTATGAAAAATAAAGACTGGTCAAATTGTGTGTGTGTATGCATCGTAGAGCTACTGTAATTTGTAGATCTATTGACTAATGTTGGTGTGGTCATGGTATGATGGCTTAATGTAGGTCACATGGTCGCCTTTCACGTGATCCAATGAAAATGTACACAACACAGATGCATCACATTGGGGTACAATGATTACATAACTATATTTTGTCTTATGTTTAGACATTCCAACCTTTGAATGTGTTTCAATGAACCGCAGGAAAAATACAAGCTAAAATGGAATGTAAAAAGAATCAACTGTGATATATAAGAGGTTATGACGTTATTCAAAATGACATAAATAGAGTCTATTAACTTGACCCATTTTCCCGCAGTTCCTCAGCCTGACCCCAACACCCCAAAGCCCGAGGGGCGTCAGATCATCCCAGTGAAAGGAGAACCTCTAGGGGTGGTCAGTAACTGGCCCCCTGCTCTACAGGCTGCACTCGCCCGCTGGGGTGCCACTCAAGCAAAGAGCCCTGCCCTCACCGCTCTAGATATTACAGGGAAACCTCTGTACACCCTCACTTACGGTTTGTAATCACAGCTCTTACTTACTATAGCATTATCAAAACATGTACTAATTTCAGTATCAAATTATGCACATTGTAGGCAAGCTCTGGAGTCGAAGTCTAAAACTTGCATACACGCTGTTGAACAAACTTGGCACAAAAACAGAGCCTGTGCTGCAGCCTGGAGATCGAGTAAGAGACACCCTTTGTGTTTTATTTCTGAATATATTAGTTATCGGTGGAGTACAAGTTATTTTACATTTTTTTCCTCTAGGTGGCGTTGGTTTACCCTAATAGTGACCCTGGAATGTTCTGGGTAGCTTTCTACGGCTGTCTCTTAGCTGAGGTTATCCCTGTGCCAATTGAGGTGCCATTGTCCAAACAGGTACATGTCCATGAGACTAATACTGCAGATGATCAATTTTAGCTGAAAATATATTTTACGGATACGATTGATTAATTGCAGACTGACGGATCTTTGTGTAATGTACAGAATCTGACCTCTTCCTCTGATTGCAGGACGCAGGCAGTCAACAGATCGGCTTCTTATTGGGCAGCTGCGGTGTTAGTCTGGCTCTTACCAGTGAAGTGTGTCTCAAAGGACTCCCCAAAACTCCCAATGGAGAGATCGTCCAATTCAAAGGTGCTTCCTGGTCATGTCACTGTATTTTTTTGGTTTATGTTTATTTACCCATTTTTTGTTGTTATTTCACTCCAGGATGGCCCAGGATGAAGTGGGTGGTGACCGATACCAAGTACTTAACCAAACCTTCAAAAGAGTGGCAACCTCACATCCCCACAGCCAACACAGACACTGCCTACATTGAGGTACAAATCATCTGAACCAGTTAATATCTGATGCAGTTGGCTTGTTTCTTTCAAAATCATTAACATGTTTTATGTTACTTACCCACCAGTACAAAGCAACAAAGGAGGGGACAGTCATGGGAGTAGCTGTTTCAAAAATTGCAATGTTGACTCATTGTCAAGCTCTCAGCCAGGCCTGCAATTACTGTGAAGGTCAGAAGAGACAGAACAGACTGCTAAACCACAATAGAAACATTATGTTTATATTTGCTGTCATGGTTTTGTTTCAGGGGAGACACTTGTTAATGTGTTGGACTGTAAGAAGGATATGGGACTATGGCATGGCGTTTTAACGGTAACGTTTAATCATTTTAATCCACAAAGACCAATTATAATGAAATGTTTTCTGAACTCTGCAGAGTGTCATGAACCGAATCCACACCATCACAGTGCCATATGCAGTTATGAAGGCCTGTCCCATGTCCTGGGTGCAGAGGGTCCATATCCACAAAGGTTCAGACAATCAAACCACCTGCTTCGTATCGCTTCTTTATTATATTTTTAACTTTTGTTGTTTGTATATCCATAGCACGTGTGGCCTTGGTGAAGTGCCGGGACCTTCACTGGGCCATGATGGCCCACAAGGACCAAAAAGACACAACCCTTTCCTCTATACGGATGCTAATAGTAGCTGATGGAGCCAATCCTTGTGAGTCTTATCTTATGTGACTTAAGATGCAAATTGTAATCTACAACGTATTTTTCTAATTCTTCCTCAGGGTCTGTGTCCTCATGTGATGCCTTTTTGAATGTGTTTCAATCTCACGGCTTAAAGCCAGAAGTCATCTGTCCATGTGCCACTTCACCTGAGGCACTTACTGTTGCCATCCGCAGGTACATACGAGTATTGTTTTAAACATTTACATTTTATTGACACTGTTTCATTAAAAGAGCTTTCTGCTTTGGCTCAGGCCTGGAGCACGTGGAGCTCCTCTTCCGGCACGTGCTATCTTATCAATGGGAGGGCTCAGTTATGGTGTCATTAGAGTCAATACAGAAGACAAGAACTCTGCGCTAACAGTTCAGGACGTGGGTCACATCATGCCTGGGGGTTAGTGCAACAACAATTATACAAATAATATGTGAACATGTAAACAGCCTAAAGATCTGTTTTGTGTCCTTCAGCCCTGATGTGCATTGTGAAGCCTGATGGGCCTCCGCAATTGTGTAAAACGGATGAAATTGGAGAAATTGTGATTAACTCTCGTGCTGGTGGAACCATGTACTATGGTCTGCCTGGAGTCACCAAGAACACTTTTGAGGTTTGCAAAATACCATTTCTAACTAGAAAAGCTAAACATAAGTATTGATGTATACATGTTATTCACCATCCATAATATGCATTCTAATTGTCTTTACTTTGCTAACAGGTGATCCCAGTGAACCAGGCTGGAACCCCAATAGGAGAAGTGCCCTTTGCTCGCACTGGTCTGCTGGGATTTGTTGGACCAGTAAGAAGACATACCAAGGCCTTATTTTTATTGCCAGCTGCTACGTGACATGACATTTGTGCTTGAATCTGACAGGGAAGTCTGGTGTTTGTCGTGGGAAAAACAGAGGGGCTGCTATCGGTGAGCAAGAGGCGGCACAACGCAGATGACCTGGTGGCTACAGCGCTGGCTGTGGAGCCTGTGAAAACGGTTTACAGGGGAAGGTGAATCATTATAACTCATGTGTTCAGAACACATGCAAACATCATTCTAATGGGCTGTGTTCTGTACAGGATTGCAGTGTTCTCAGTGACAGTGTTTTATGATGAAAGGATAGTGATTGTAGCTGAACAAAGACCTGATGCCAGTGAAGAGGATAGCTTTCAGTGGATGAGTCGAGTTTTACAGGTGGAGCACCTTTAGAGACTTTAGGCACTTCTTTGCCTTTAGAGTAGAATAAAATATCCAAATGTTTTCCTCAGGCCATTGACAGCATCCATCAGGTGGGCCTGTACTGTCTTGCACTTGTTCCAGCCAACACTCTGCCAAAGACGCCTCTGGGAGGAATCCACATCTGTGAGACCAAGCAGAGTTTTTTGGATGGAAATCTACATCCATGTAACATCCTACTGTGCCCACATACGTGTGTCACCAACCTGCCCAAGCCACGGCAGAAACAGCCTGGTAAAACCCACCTTTCTACATTAATGTTTGGAAATTGTGATAACTTACTGATGCATTTGTTTGTGTGCAGTGGATGTTGGACCTGCTTCAATGCTTGTGGGAAACCTTGTGGCAGGGAAGCGTATTGCTCAGGCCACAGGTCGAGAGTTGAGCACGGTGGATGATCAGGACCTAATACGAAAGGTACTGGTCATACTCTGCACTGCTGATGAACACATTGAACTAGTATAAATTGTATTTCTTTGTCTAATATCAACAGGTACGCAGTTAATTATGTTCCATTTGTCTTGACTTTACTACTGGTAAATTGGTGATAATCTTTGTTTGACTGACTCTGTTTGATTTGAACTGTAGCTCAGTATGTGGCCTACAATGATGGTAAGGCTCTGGCCGCAGTCTTTGCTTATCTTTTGTATGATTTTGTTTTTGCAGCTGTGGTTTTGTGTTTTTTGAGAGCAGCACTATAATACATATTTTTGTTATATTCTTGGTTTAAATATTGGAGTTAAATGAAAGTGTAAGTGTAGCTGGTATAGTGCTGCTGCCACCGTCCCCCTGCAGTTGTGTGCTGCGCTGTGGCATGAGCTTTGAGCAGCAGGACTACAGTCTGTGACTATGATTTATAAATGTCTTTGTGTACAGGGAGCACCTTGTGGCTTTTGTCCTGTCTATTTATTGATACTTGAATTGCACAACAATAATATGTGTGTGTGTGTGTGTGTGTGTGTGTGTGTGTGTGTGTGTGCACTTGTTTTCAACTCCTGGTGGGTTCCATAACCTGAGATTCCACTCACGTCATGGGGACTGGTTTTACGTGGTGGGGCCCGAACACCGGACCCCACTGGTCCAAGCTTAATAATCAATGGGTAATGCTTTTCTAACGGTCCTTATGCAGTCTCTGTAAAAATATGGAAAGGACCCCTGGAGGTTTACTTTCCTGAAAAAAGTGTGTTCTGTGTCGGAACCCTGGTGGTGGGTTGCGGAATATCAAGGAGGGGCACACTGGGGCAATTTCAGTCCAGCAGGCTGGAGCCAATCATGGAGCAGCACAACAGAGGAAATCAGGTGTCAGGCTAGAAAAGGTGCAAGTGTGTGGTTCATTAGGCTGCAAGAAATCATGGAGGAGCACACTGAAGCGCACGCTTACAAACCACTGGTAAGTGCTGACTACAAGTCATGACTTCAAATTGTTATATAGAATTATTACAAATTATTTGTTGTTTGTGCAGCTTAGTCAAGAGTCCCTAAATGATGAAGTCGACTCAGATTCTGACGATTTAACTGTCAAGAAGAAACCTGTAAAAAAGTATGGAAAAAGAAAAATCAAAAACACTTTTCTTCAAGACTCGGAAAGTGACGAACCAAAGGCAAATAAGATTGTTATCATGCAGCTGCAAAAGAAGAAAAATGGGGGGCGAGTTTACAGCAAGAGACACTCTACTGTTCAATGTCCTGCCACAAAATGTCCCGTCATTTGACTAGAAAACATGGAAATGAAAGTGACGTAGCCAGAGCATTGGCTCTACCTGTGAAATCTAAAGCACGTAAACTTCAGTTTGATTTGATCAGGAATAGTGGAAACCGTGAGCACAATTTTGAGGTTTTAAAGGCCGGCATTGGAACTTTAGTCCCAGCTAAACAGCCAAATTGCCCAGTTAAATCCAGTGAGTTTTTGCACTGTATAGACTGTGGGGCATTGCTTAAGCGAAAGTCGCTGTGGAGGCATGTGGCCAGGTGCCGGCTTTCACAGAAAGATGCCCAGGCTAAACCAGGTAGAAGTAGGGTCCAGTCCCTCTGCTCCCTAGCCCAGCCTGTACCGGAGGGCATCAGCAAAAAGCTGTGGTCTTTAATTTCGGCAATGCATCAGGATGAGGTCACGGGTGTTGTCAAAGCAGAAAAGGGGATTCTGAGACTCGGAGAGCACCTGTACTTAAAACACGGGCATGATAAGACTAAGCATGATTACATTAGGCAGAAAATGAGAGAAGTCGGTAGGTTAATTAACGAAGCAAAAACCGCAGGGAAACTGAAAACAATTAAGGATTTCTTTATTCCTTCCAACTTTAACCATGTGATTGATGCAGTCAGGTCTGTGGCTGGATATGATGAGGAAACAAATCAATACAAGACTCCATCCTTGGCCCTCAAACTCGGCCATAGCCTCAGAAAGCTAGCAGATATTCTTGAATGTGACTCAAAAATGGAGCATTGTTTTGATGAACTATTTATTAAAAACCTCCAACGAAGCCGGCTGCTTTTTGAGAAGAGGTGGGACGTCTGTGTTTCTTCTGCTGCCCTACAGACCCTCCGGCAAGCCAAGTGGAACACTCCGGACCTGCTCCCTCTGACTGAGGACGTTAGAGCCATGCATGCACATATTGAGGTATGTCGACCTGAATATGTGCAAACCCTAATAAGTGAGCCAACGTCTAAGCATTGGTCTAAACTGGCAGTTTTGACTCTTTGTGAGGTCATCATTTTCAATCGAAGAAGGGAAGGTGAGGTTTCAAAGATGCCACTGACAGCGTTTACCTTAAGAAGTAAGACTGGGATCCATTCTGACATGGCTCTGGGACTGTCCGAACTTGAGAAAAAGCTGTGTCAGCATTTTCAACGCATTGAAATTAAAGGGAAAAGAAGTCGGAAAGTGCCGGTTCTTTTGACTCCTGAAATGATTGCTTCGATGGAGGTGCTGGTGGAGAACAGAAGGGCCTGTTCCATCTCTGACCATAACTCATACTTCTTCTCCCGCCCGGGCGCAGACACCCACATCAGGGGATCAGACTCCCTACGGCAGGTAGCCAAAGAATGTGGTGCGGTGCATCCAGAGATGCTATCCTCAACCAAACTTAGAAAGCACATAGCTACTATGTCTACAGTTCTCAATATGAAAGAGAATGAAATGGACATACTTGCCAACTTCCTCGGCCATGACATTCGCATCCACAGACAATATTACAGACTACCAGAGGGGACACTGGAGCTGGCCAAAATCAGCAAAGTGTTGATGGCCATGGAGCAGGGAAGAGTGACGGAATTCGAAGGAAAGAGCCTCGACCAGATACAAATTGAGCCTGAAGGTAATTCTTGATATTATTAAAATATGTATGATTTTTTTTCCCCTAAAGGCCACTTGTATTTTTATTTTCTGTGCGACAGGGAGAGCAGTAGAGATCCCCTCACAAACGGACGGGCTAAAAGAAACTTCAAGCGGAGAACCTTCAACCATTCATCCAGATGCACCCCATGGTAGTGGCAGTGCCCCTTCTGGTAAGTGTACCAGGTGGGGGATTACAGCCAGGCTGCTTGGTCCTCACCCTGGGAGTGTATATTGCTAATATATTTTTATTTCTCTCCCTAGAACGTGTAAGAAAGCCATGGTCTGCATCTGAGGTGAAGGCTGTGGAGAAGACCATGACGCCTTTCATACAGACTGGAAAAGTCCCTGGGAAGTCTCACTGCCTGGCCTGCATTAATGCCTCACCAGATGACCTTAGACATCGGACATGGAGTGGCATTAAATTCTATGTCAAAAATAGAATCACTGCAATTCGAAAAAAAAAATCTAAAATAAAATTCCTTTAAAAGAGTTGTTTGTTTTCTATTGACTGTTTTGTATTACTTAAAGTAGTCCCAGTAAAAAAAGATTATGTCTATGGGTCCCATTCTGAACGGCCCTGTCAAAGGGACCCACCAGGTAACAAAAACGTGTATGTGTGTTTGTGTGTGTGTATCAGGGCTGAACCGTTTAATTGTATTAATGAAATCATTTAATGACTTTTAATTCAATAATATTGCCTCACTTTTTGCTAATGTATTCCAATGTGTTTTTTTTTTACTGCAAATGGCAAATAAACTGAATCTGAATCTGATCAATGAATCGTTTGATATTCAAATCTAGCACAGAGCGCACCGAGCAAAATGGCAATTGTTTCACATGTGAAAAATTTTGTAATTAGAATTTAAAATACAGCAAAATTCTGTGCTTCCTCCTGGTTATGTTGTATTCCTGGAGTAATGTTGGGTTGGACCATACCAGTCAGAACCACACAGTTTTACAATAACGTGTCAGAATGTAAAATTACCTGACGGTCAGGCCTTACCATGGTTCTCTGAAGTCCCAAGCCCAATGTCTTTTTAGTCTTTTGTAACTGATTTCAAATTTTTTTTTTTTCATTTGTTATTACTTTGGAATGTGTGTCTTTTCTTTTAAGGTCTTTTTGCAGACTTGTTTTGGTTGTCTTGTCTAACAATTAGTTAACAAATCTAATCATGCTTGTCTGTAGCCAATGAAAGGATGCGTTTTAACATTGGGCCACACATGTTTGCATTCCCCTTTAATGGATGTTGTAATATTGTTGAAACTGCATTTTGTAATTGCAAAAGTTTTCTTTGTATGATAACAAAATTCAATCAGAACCATTTAACTTTGATAAAAAATTAGGTGAGGAAAATACACAACTGTAAATCAGATTTACAGTTATTGTTTTGTTTTACTCATCAAGTAAATGGCTTTTAGATAGTGAGATGGCCAAATATAGATATGTACTATTTATGAATGAAATTGTTCCTGTAAATGTATAATTCTTGATAAATGTCTACTCACATTTTCTTTGCACGTTCACAGCACCAGTTTTTGTCAGAAGCGCTGCAGTGGAGAGCACAAGCCGATCCTGACCATATTCTCTATGTGCTTCTCAATGCCAAGGTAAACTCAAATGTCAGCTTTCCTTTGAAGGACAAATTAGACCTAGTAGGTATCGTTCTTATAACAAAAATGTCCTTTATTGTCTGTAGGGGGCAGCAGTCTGCACAGCCACATGTGCCCAGCTTCACAAGAGAGCAGAGAAGATCACAGCCACTTTACTGGAGAGAGGAGGCCTTAAACCAGGAGACAATGTGGTGCTGCTATATCCCCCTGGTACTATGACACAGAGCACAATCACAGACTATGCATGTTCAGTATAAATGACACAATTGTTTGTCCATAACTCCTGCAGGTATCGATCTTATTGCTGCCTTTTACGGTTGTCTATATGCGGGAGTCATCCCTGTGACGGTCAGACCGCCCCATCCACAAAACCTGGCTGCTACGCTCCCCACTGTTCGCATGATCATTGACGTGAGTGCACAAATTACAGGAATTTACTTGGTCGAAACTGATTCAATATTCTGTCTCTCTTTTTACAGGTGAGCAAAGCTGCGTGCATTCTTACCACTCAGCCTCTCATGAGGATCCTCAGGTCGAGGGAAGCAGCTGCCAGTGTCAACATCAAGACCTGGCCTACCATCATTGATACAGGTTCATATCAAATAACTCTAAAGCCACTTTAGTGTTTAGTTGATTGTGTTTAAAACACTTAATCAAATCAAAGGCAAAACCTGCACATCCACTAAACCACAAGGGTTCATCAGAGTTATTCCCTTTGCATCTTTTTCTTGCATGCAACAAAACCAAATGTTATTAATAATAATTGACTAAACAGTGTAAATGAATCATGTTCCCTGGATTATTTTTAGATGATCTTCCCAAAAAGCGACCCCCAAGCATCTACAAACCCCCCACAGCAGAGATGTTGGCCTACCTGGACTTCAGTGTGTCCACCACAGGGATGCTGACTGGGGTCAAGGTAAAGACACATCCATGTCTCCACTTTGCTGCCACCTCTGAATGGTAGATATGTTTTGTGTCGTGTCTAATATTTTGTGCATTTATTTGACAGATGTCCCATGCAGCAATTAGTACTCTGTGCCGCTCTATTAAGCTGCAGTGTGAGCTCTACTCTTCTCGCCAAATAGCCATATGCCTCGACCCGTACTGCGGCCTGGGCTTTGTTTTATGGTGCCTCTCCAGGTAACTCTTACTAACAAACATGTGGTCTATTTGAGCCTAATGGTATTAGTTTTGATTGTGTTATTGTCCATCCACAGTGTTTACTCAGGTCACCAGTCCATCCTTATCCCTCCTTTGGAACTGGAGAGTTCGCTGCCATTGTGGTTGAGTACTTTAAGTCAGTACAAGATCAGAGACACATTCTGCTCCTACTCGGTCATGGAGCTCTGCACTAAAGGGCTGGGCACACAGACGGAAATACTAAAGGTAAAACAAACTAGTAAACACAATGTTAGAAATACATTTGTAAACAACACCAGTTGCACAGTAGTCAGCAGTGGTTTTGCTCTGTTCTATTCACGGGTGTCTAGAAGTTGGACCAAACCATAATGCCTCTGTTGTCCGCAGACTCGGGGAGTGAACCTATCCTGTGTGCGCAGCTGTGTGGTGATAGCAGAGGAACGCCCCCGTCTCGGTCTCTCCATGTCTTTCTCAAAGCTTTTTAAAGATCTGGGCCTTTCGTCTCGGGCTGTGAGCACTGCCTTTGGATCCAGAGTCAACCTGGCCATTTGCTTACAGGTCAGTTTTAGATATTTACTGTCAGAGTTTTTTCTTCAGTCAATTGTCAATCATTTGGTTCCTTTGGGAGTCATTTAATGAGTCATTTGGTGTATTGACTTAAAATTTAAAATTTAAAACTTTAAATCTAAAAATGTAAACTCTGTTTTGCTCAGGGTACTGCTGGTCCGGATCCCTCGACTGTCTATGTAGATATGAAGTCACTACGACACGACAGGTAAGATGTACATTACCGTACAAAAATGTACAGGTGTGACATAGTGTCCTCGTCATGTGTGTCCTAAAGGGTCAGGCTGGTAGAGCGAGGAGCACCGCAGAGTCTTCCACTCATGGAGTCCGGCACTGTACGTATTGATTATAGATGAAAACGGACATGCCTGAAACTAAACTGTGCTAAATCTGTCTCACTGTAGATCCTACCAGGCGTGAGGGTGATCATTGTGAACCCAGAGACCAGAGGCCCACTGGGAGACTCTCATCTAGGAGAGGTAAACACTTTTTTTTACTACGGTAATATAACCTAAATTTGTAATCTTAGGACAATAGGGTAACATATTCTTTAAGGTTTGCTCTGCACTTGATAGCTTTGTGCTTTGAGCTTGTGTGTAGATACTGACCTTTAATTTATTTCTTTTTACTTGTTAGATCTGGGTGAATAGTTCACACAGCGCCAGTGGTTACTACACAATCTATGGAGAAGAGAACTTACAAGCTGACCACTTCAACACCAAGCTCAGCTTTGGAGATCCACAAACCGTGTGGGCCAAGACCGGATACTTGGGCTTTATCAAAAGGACGGAGCTTTTGGATGCAAATGGAGGTGAGATCATGGCTCTAACTGTGCTTTTCTTATTGATTAAAAAATAATAAATAAATAAATTAAATTGAATAACTGTGTTTGCAGATCGTCATGATGCCTTGTTTGTGGTGGGCTCCCTTGATGAAACATTGGAGCTGAGGGGGTTGCGGTACCACCCCATAGACATTGAGACTTCAGTCTCTCGAGCACATCGCAGCATTGCCGAGAGGTGAGTAATGTTGTCCAGTTAAGTGCAAGTGAAGAGGTAGAAGATACTTGTTAATCAAAAGATTGTTTCATCTGCAACATGATTGGTGTTTCGATGGAGAGGCCCTAAGTGTGTCCCTTGATTTGAGCAGTGCCGTGTTCACGTGGACCAACTTGCTGGTGGTGGTGGCAGAGCTGAGCGGGTCGGAGCAGGAGGCTTTGGACTTAGTGCCTCTTGTCACTAATGTGGTTTTGGAGGAGCATCACCTGATTGTGGGTGTGGTGGTTATTGTGGACCCTGGGGTTATTCCCATCAATTCCAGAGGCGAGAAGCAGCGAATGCACCTACGAGACTCATTTCTGGCAGACCAACTGGACCCCATCTATGTGGCCTACAACATGTGAACAACCCTCTATGAGAGATGCATAAACCTGAGCCAGGCTCTGAGCACACGAGGGAGATCCCCCAAAAACCAAACATCTGCGAAGCAGTGCAGTGAGAGCGTGCTTCCCTCTGAAAAACTGTTGCTTCCACCTGCTCCACCTCTGCAGTCCAGATGATTTGGGATGGGAGGGGCTGGCAGTGCAACTGTCACATGGAAGGATTTAGTCTTCAGTTGTCATCTCTCTTACTGCTCCAATTTCAATTCAAGAGATTTTAATGCATCTTAGAAAACTATTATTTCATTCCTTGGTTTTTAGCCAAACCATGCATCCGTTTATTTCCTCCATCCTTTGGTTTTCGCTGGCAGGACGTCCCATTGCTCCTGTTGTGGGAACCAGACCTATTCCTGTTGCACTTTAAAAGTCCCTGCACCTCAAAGTGTCCCATCCACATGATGTGGAGCAACCCCAAACCATTAACATGATCTGTTCTCATCTGCCAGTACCGGTCCACTCAGTATTATCACCTGCCTGATGTGCTAACCTTCCCAAAACAGAGGCACTTCGGCTGCATCCCTGTAAAACAGAAACCGCTGAGCTCTGAGGCAATTTTTTTCTTTATGTGTGAGTAGGAGTTTGTCTTTTAGATAGCTTGTATGATTGTATTAGTGCCAATTTATTTCTTTAAAAAGTTCCAGTCAATGTTGTTAAACTGAGCTAAACAGTGCAATTAAAGATTATGTCAGAAACATCAGTCAAAATACAATTACAAATCATATTGAGAAACAATCCAAATTTGTGTCCATTTATCAACTTACAAGCAATGTTTGCTCTGCTGGATATGATTTTTAAAAGGTTCCTTAAACACACACACGTAAACACTCTGTCATTGTAGTAAAACATATATTAAAAAAAATATAAACACTTCAGACACAGCCTTGGTAAAAAATTAGGCAAAAAGAGCACAATAGTTAAGAGATGCTTAGAATGGCTTTATTATTATTGCTGCTAGTTCTATGCTAAATGGCTTCATTCATCTCTTTCAACTAAAAATACAGAAAGTACAAAAAGCCCAGGAACAAATAAAGAGTAATCTGTCATGTGTTTGGGCCACTAGCGTCAGTCAGTGCTTTACTGTGGTGGCATCATCTGTAGATCAACAAGAGGCAGAATAGTGCCTTCACGCTGCGTTTAGGATTAAGGACTGTTCAATTATCAAACAAGGAAACTCCACAGACTTTCGCCTTACTAAACATGTGAAGTTGACCACTTTAACATATCTGGCTGTATAATGTGTGCAAATTAACAAAGCCAGCCTCTCTCACTCACAATGTTTCAATAGGGGGAGCAAGGAGTCTATTGTTTCATTCTTCCGCGCCTTAGATCATTTCATTTTGAATATTGTTGAATGTCTGTAACACTGAAGAAGAATAATTGCATTTGGAGATGAGGAACAATCAGTCACCTAAGTCGTCCATTAAAACCTATGGGGCCTATGATGAGGGTAAAGAATGTCGACTGTATTGATCTGAGGATCAAAACTGTATTATTGGTGTTAACGTGTACATGGAAAAGTGTCTATGATAAACTTGACTGAGTTTCATACTTGACAGCATTTATTTCTCTTTTATTTTTTACTCATTACAAGTAATATGTTTTCACAATGTTCTGATGGGAGAGATGTGCACTTTTCCCAAAATGGTTTTAAATGTTAAAGGTGTGCAGGGTTTGTTCCAAGATTTTAAAGTCATTGTTATGTCATTTCTGTTTTCAAATGTCGCCTCCACTGTATTTTATGTCTTTCCATCCAAAATTGAAGTTAATATATTTTAAAACAGTGTATTTTTCTGTTAAATTGCACATCTCTCTGTATTAATACAACAATTAATAAACCACTTCATTTTTTGTGACAGTTGCTGGTGATTTTTGAGCCAGTATTTTGTTTTGTTTTTAGACAAATGTACACGACAAAGTGAAGCTGTTTTTCTTCGATCATGTAATAATGCTTTATTCCTACTGTTTTACTCCAATTTTAAATAAAATTTTATAATTTCTTGTTGGCCTTAAACCCTTTTCAATAGACATTGGTGCTATTCTTCATAAGGGAATGTGGTCATCCAATGTCCTATTCTAAGGTCAATTTTTGTGACTTAATGCTATACAGCGCACTAATTCTCTTATTACACTTTCAGCTGTCAAATTGCAGAGAACTGTGTGCATTTAAAAGCTACAATATTATTTTAAGCACAAAATGTCCACAACGTGAGGTGATAAAATTGGGATTTTCCACAAAATAACTCAAAACAATGTATACCTCAAACCAAGGACTATCCGATCACTATGCATTAGTCAAGCTGCAGCAAAGACGCTCTGAACTGGTGCAAACATGTCTTGACACTTGTCACTGTCATTTGGATGTGTTTCATGTTAAATAAAAAGATGCTTTGTCAGTTTTTTTTGGAGATGTTTGTATGTATGTATGTTCTGCAACACTCATTAGTGACAGAGCGACACCTGGAGGACAAGTGTTATCTAACTTGTGTAGTGCCCATAGCAAGTATGACTTCCTTTAGTGGGAACACATAGGACTTAAAAAATAAAATAAAATCAATGACACACCAATCTAAAGTAACGGATCATCGTGCGCTGTATCCAAAGCCCTGCAGCCCTAGTCCTTTGAAGATCTCATATTCCGCTCACAACAATCAAATACAATATAAAAAAGAAAAGGGGTCTAAAATAAGGCTAAAAACAGGCTAAAAATCCGCTGCTGCTTCGTCCAAGCACCGCACGCGGCTCCAACTCTCCGCATGGTCCTACAGTCCTCTGGCGCTGATGGGCCGCCACCACGGGGCTTTCGCCTCCCCCCGTCTGCCCTATGCTCTGGCCCCGTGTGTCCCGCTCTCCAGCTTCCTCTTTTCCTACCCATCTCATGGATGTATTATAATCATAGACTGTATATATTAATATAGTACATATACAATAGATGGCCCCATCTGTTCAAGACGCAGGTGTCTCCACCACGTGGGGAGCCGGGGTGACGGCAGTGTGTGACGTCACATTTATTTTAATTTACCGTTCAGACTGTAGGAGGTACACATCTTTACTCGAAGCATTTTGAGCTATAATATAATGAAGTGTGTGGAGCTCTATTTAAGAGTATTGTGACTTTACTGTCGATTTGACTAAACTTAATTTTGATAACTTTCTATGTAAACTCTTTTGCTTTTTGAGTAATATGGAATAAAATTAAAACAAAATCTGTGCAGAAATGCCCGGTATGCACAAAAGACTAAAGACTATGGCAAGATGCCCTGCACCTTAAGGAATAATATCTCCTTCCAGAGGGAAGAAGCTGGAACATGGCCTAGGGGCCAGAAGGATCCTTCATCATTTGCAGAGATCATCTGGAGTCATAAAGATAAGATAAGAATTCCTTTATTCGTCCCACAGTGGGGAAATTTTGATAAAGAGCCGGTTCACAGTTCACAGTTGAAGGTAATTGCAATGACTTTCTTGGTGCTTAAACTGTTGATTTATTGTCAAAAAAAGCTTGTGTCACCTGTCAACCAGCAGCGTGTACATTGACGAAGGTTTTATAGTGAGAACTGGTGCAGCAGTAGTCCCACACTGAGGAGGATCAGCGCTGAACTTGAACTGGACTGGGGACTTGCAGACCTGTGCTGTTCTGTGTCTATCCACTGCCAGTACCGGCTGGTCCGCACATACACTCCCGGCTTGAACGGTGTTGCACAATTGTAACCAAAACTGGTCACTCCAAGAAGGTAAAACCTCGCTTCCTCCTCACTGTAGCACTGCAGAGGCCCCCCACTGTCGCCCTAAACCCAAACACAGGTGTTATTCAGGCGTCCGGATGTCCACTTTCTCTGCCAGTGTGAAATATGATCCCAAACCTGACACGAATCCGCAGCACCGCTCTCATGTCCGGCACAGAGCATGTTTTCAGTGATCCGTTTGTTGTACCAGTGGATCTGGTTACATGTCTGTCGATCAATCATCTCCACCTCTGCTTCCTGTAAGCTGTCCACCCCAGGCCCTGCAAAAGTCACTGGACATTACTCACAAGAACAGAGATGGATTTAAGTTCTGGTAATCCATACTCACAAGTTCTCATAAGAAGCAAATTCACAGTTAAAATTAAATGAATTCAAACTGAATTCAATTCCCTCAGCAGATACAATCTTTTCTGAAACTGAAACTGAATGAAATCATAGGAAGTACTATTTAAAAAAATTACTTCTTTCACCCCTCTCTCAAACCAATGTTTGTCTCAAGCCAGAATTTTAACCTCTGTGTCATTCACGGTGTGGTTGGAGGCCTTGAGGTGGAGATGAACAGCCGATTGTGGCCCACTAGATTTTTCTCTACGATGTTGGTAAAGTCGTTTCTGTAGAGTTTGTTTAGTTTCTCCAATATAGTGGTCAATGCACTGGACTGACCACTATATTGGAGACCACAGAAACATCTTCATCAACATGGTAAAGTTGTTTCTGTCGCCCTCCTTGAAAAAGTTCTTTGGATTAAGGACGAGACATCAGGAAAACCTGCTAAGAAGTACAGATGATGGGTGAGAAACCTTCCTTTGCTTTGACCAATCCCTTTAGACTGAGAGCTTACACAAAGTTTAGGTGTGAAGTTACTTTCTTGGCCAAATATTAAGTGTTGTACAGCCAAAGCAGTTTCAGATCAAACCAGAAGTTAAAATGTAACACATTTAGAAGGGTGTGTGAGATGCTTGGACTGACCTCCATAGTAAGTGCTGCCCCATCCTGAGATGAAGCACTGGCTGAAGTTAAGTGAGGCTTCTTCATATTCAGTGCGAGGAATGCAGATGGGATGGACGAAGTCAGTGAAGTTCCACGGAGAGTCCAATTGCAGAAGAGCAACATCATTATCCAGAGTAGTTGTATTGTAGTCGCTGTGTATCTGGATTTTTGTGATGTAGCGAACCTGCGCCTGTTCTCCAAGCTGTGACAACGTGGCCATTCCTGCTACCACTCTGAAATGCCTCTTGCTGATCTCTCTGAATGGACAATCAAGAATCTTTTAGGCACAAAACATAAAAAGCGTTGTCCATTAATAACTTTTTTCATTTGGAGGTTTTTTAAGCCTTTAAAGAGTTTAAGATGCAGTCAGTGATTTTTTCCAGACGCATTTTTTTTAATATTGTGGGAAAACGTCCCTAAATGCTAAAAGTAGTCAAGTTATCATGTGCTTTCAAATAGTAATGGAATTGACCAGATGCCTATTGTCTCCAAAAAATAATACAAAATATGTTGGAGCGGACCGATAAAAATAAACCAATGGAATTCGTTCATCCACAACGAACCAATGGGATGCGTTTACCCCCTTCACCCTCTTCCTGTTTCTCGCGCACCGGAGTTACGGATTTTCTAAAACCTAAAATGGCTGAACAGATAATGCCAATTTCACGTTTGCCACCCACTCTCCCTGTTGTGACAAAGAAAAGAAAGTGCTGGATGTTTGGTTTGGTGAAGAGGTGAGGGGAGGGGGGAGTGGTTTCGAGTTGGTGCTACGGCTAAGCTAACGACATGCTTACTGCACCTGCAAGTTCAAAGTTGTTCAGTCGTTATTAGGTCGGTTTTGTAGATGTTTTTAATTTTGAAAAAAAAATGTAATCGTGTTTATCAGTTTTTAACCTGCTGTAGCACTTTGAGATCTCTTTGAATATCTAAAGTGCATTATATTTAAAAAAAAAAATCTATATTATTTTATAATATATTAATGTTTTCTTTAATTATATTATATGTGACCATCCGACATGTTCCATTCTCCATGGACCAAAGTTAAAGCTTTGCATAGAATTAGCATAAACCTTAGCAAACCTCAAGATAAATGTGTTACTAGACATTGGGACATTGCTGTGTCTATTTTCAAACAGGTGTTGGATCCACCAGGGGGCAAGACAAGATTTCGAATACATCTAAACTATAAATAGTCTCACTTGTTGAAACAGTGGGATGCAGAGAGCACCCACACGGGGTTCAGAATGGACCCCCCACAGAGATGATGGCTGAAGATCTGGATGCTGACTTGCCACGGCCAGGCCCCAGCCATAGCCTCCTGCCCACCCACAATCCGGGACCCGCCTGGAGGGGCAACAAGGAACCGCAGCCCACAACCTAAAAGCGCAAATAGATCATTTCTGATTGTTCTGTCTAATGATGATGTTATCAATAATTGTACAAACAGTTGACTCACCATCCTGCTTGTTGTGCACAGCATCTAGTCGGAATATCTTGGCTGTCAAAAGAACCACAAATATGTACAACTTCATTTGTATCGCCCTGGGTCGAGGTAGTATTTTAAATGAAAACAAATACAAACACATTTGGTTATACTTTGAAAAGTGGCGTGAACGTTCCACCGGGTGTCATAAGAAAACTGTTAAATACAGGTGCACTCGGCATGAAGTCAAGTCTAGTAGGATTTGGGTCCCACACATTACGTAATATTAACAACAAAGGGCAGGGGGCAGGTGGCACCGGTCCTTATTTCCATATTAATTGGTGCTAGTGATGAGAGGCGAGCGTGAGATAAAGAGGCAATGGATTAAATTAAGTGTTTGCATTATGTGTAGTGGCGTTTATGAGGAAATAACCATTGCACGAAGGATCTTTACACGCGTCCATTTGTTTGAGAGGGAGAATGGGATGCACTGGCCTTAACCAAAGCCAAAACCTCACCGAGCCCGCGTATCCTTCTGCACGTACATTCAGCCAACGCGCAGAGACGCGTGCACAGCTCTCTCACAGTCTCCTCTTCGAAGCCCCCCTGTTTGGTCAAGACACATGGGGCTTTTACGGGGTGCAGGCCTAAATGACCTTTAGGATTTGACGCTCTCGCCGACACTCCCTCGCATTCAGCTGAGAGTCATCAATTATGCAGGGACGCGGTCTCGCACTGAGGGGGAAGATAGCAGCAACAATATGGCGACAACCGCAGTTTCTCCCCGTTCGTCTCCACATCTGCAGCTTCGCCTAGTCTTCCAGGATTCTTTGTAACGCTTATATAGTGAGTATGCTTCTGTTTCGAGGTGTGGACATTGTGGAGGTCGTGTTGCTCGGTGAGAATTCTTTTGCTCGGTGTCTGTGTCTGTGCGTAATTGTCGCAGAGGCGCACGCACAGCCCTGCGTTCGTTTTGGAGCAGAATGGAAAGGGTTTGATTCATGTTTGTTCACCATGACATTATTCTTTTTGGCATATGTGCTCGTCTTTGAATCGGAGATATTCTGTCAAATGTGATCTCTATTGCTGGAGGGGTTTGATGTGTTGCCCTGAGCTTTAGGTAAGGTGCCATACTCGCACCTAAGAAGGTCAATGAGCTATAATGGCATAAGGACGGCTGGGTAGTTCTTGTTGAAATACCGATTTAACTCTCCAGGGGACGGGATGCTACAAATGGGTTTGTGCTAGGGCTTGGACACGTCGCGTGAGTATTACCTGTTCCTCCTCATCCATGGCTCACGTCTCATTCGTTCGCTTAGTCTGAACGCGTTGAATGTTTATCATTTGCAAAGTATTTTATTTCACATGATATCAGCACTGTGTGAAACACATATGTGTAGCATCCTGCTGTCGGATCAGTGCACTGATTAAGGTCCTATTGATTTACCAGTCGACATGGTTTAACGGGTGTGGTGCAGATCCTTCTAGGCGTCGCGCAACTACCCAGGAGTAACTGTGCGGGTGTCTATTCAGCCAAAATAATGTTATGTTGCATTCTTTGACCAATGCTTCGTCGCTGTTCTTATTCACCCCGGGTGACATTCTTCACACTCCGCAGCAGTGTGTTTTGGACTGGATGCGGACCACTTCTTGCGCAGCATTTCTTTGGCCTTTTGTTATTGCATAAAATGTTTTAACATTCCCACTCGGCGCGTTTTGGAATGTTCCGTGTGTCCACTCTCCTCCCATGACCATGACTCGGGCTGTTGTCCTTCAGTATGACAACGTGATTGGCAGCAGACAGAATTTAAGCAACGTGACACTCTCGAGACAGACGCAACGCGACGAGTGTTGTCATCGTCACTTAGAACAGTGAGTGGAGAAATGGTGGACAGGCGCCCGAGCAGGAGCGCTTCTCTACTGTCTCTCCTTCTGTGAAGCTTGCAGCATGCGGCCGTGTGGAGTGTGTGTGCAGTGTGTATGCGGCGTGTGTGTTCGGACGTGCACACGTGTGCGCGCTCGCGTGGTGCTGAAACGGACAGCGCCAGAGCAGCTGAAGGCAGCGACTGTGAGGTTCCGGGGTCCATTTTAAAACACACGCTTGGCTAAAACTGCGTGATTCTTTCCCCGTTTGCTGACATATTCATGCGGATACAGATACTGAGACAGAAGCGGGGTATGCTCGCACTGGCACAATGAGCAATCTGTGTTATGCAAGAGAATAGCAGGGATGTAATAGGCCTTAACGATGCAGATATGTCTGACTGTCTGAAGCCCCCGAGACCAGCACAATGCCCCATAGGCCTACACTGGGTATAGCAATGGATTTGATGTCATAAGATGCCTATCATGTCAGGTGATTAATTTTTATCTTGATTTGACTTGTGCCAAAGGCTCCATTTCATCAGTTGTAATAATCAGGGACAAGGGCAGATTATTACATTTAATAGACATTACTTAAACCTCTATTTGTACATTGATAATAAACATCAAATTCATCTTTTGGTTTGGAGGCCCTAATGTGTAAGCTATCAGCAACAGCGAGGTTTGAATGCATACTTTGCATTTGTATTTGATTTTAATCTTTGTGAAAAATTGTATAAAATATGCAGAGGCTGCCATTGTATGGATTCTAGAACAGACATGAAACTATAGAATTACATTTGGTGGAGCTTAAGTGGCCTGAATGATGATTGCTTATTTATATGAGACACTGAAATCTAAGAATTAAAATGAGCATGTCATGTGCATTAGCAGAGCTGAAGTTGTTATCAACTCTGGAGATCAACAGCTGGAGCGGTGTAGGCCCTGGGGGCAAATTCATACAATGGCAACAGAGTTCAAAGAACTTGAAATAAGATAATGTTTATGGCCTCTCTCCTCACTCATGGTGGAGAAAAGCCGTTTGGTGCTTTTCCTTTGATTTCACAAATTGTCATGTTGTTGCTTCCCAGTAAGGCGTCATTAATAAAATGTTAGACTTTCCTTAGCGTTAGAACTGAACAATACTTGATCAGGTGGCTGTAGCTGGTCTTTCAAACATGGCAGGTTGCCCATTCATTCCCAAACACTCGCCAAACTGTGAGAGAATGGACCTGGAAGTCCATATTTGGTATATCCAACATTGCTTGATCATGCTATTAATTGTAATATTCCCTTCCTGGTCACTTGATGTGGATGATTTGAAACAAAAGTCTACAGCTATAGCACATTCTGCTTTTTTCCTTGCGGTGGTGAAGGTGAAAAGTTGTCAAAAAGAGGAATATTGTACTGATGTCAGATTATTTACAAATCTGTTTTTTTTATGTGTTTAATACCATTGGTGTCTTGTTGGCTCAAATGTCATAAAGTTCAGTCTTTAAAGAAGTCCTCTTTTCCTTAGAGCCGACACTGTGGATGGTACAAACCTAATACCCAAGTAGCTGCAGGATGAAAACATGGCTGCACACCTTCTTGCACCGCCAGGACCCGACAGCTTCAAGTATTTCACTAGGGAAACTTTGGCGGCCCTTGATCAGCGCATCAATGAGGAGAAAAAGAAAAAGCCACCCAAGCAGGATAGCAGTTACCGTGACGATGATGACGAGAACAAGCCGAAGCCCAACAGTGACCTGGAGGCGGGCAAGAGCCTGCCGTTCATATATGGGGACATTCCACGAGGAATGGTGGCGGTACCACTGCAGGAGCTAGACCCATTCTACAACAACTCTCAGAAAGTGAGTGGTGCCAAAACATGCACGCACAAACACACACACAAACACACAAGACAATTACATTACATCACAAAGGAATTGTCTTTCATATTGCAAAATCATATTTCATCATTTTTTTCTCTCTATTCTTCACCATAGACATATCTGTTCATAATGTAAAACACAGCCTATTATGGTCTTTAGTGGTTTTGAAATTATGGAAAATGTTTTAATGAAACATAATATTTTGTGCAAAAGAGATGGTTGTATCTTGTCAGAGTTGACCATCAATTTCAAATAGAGAAAGGGTTAGGATTGAGGAAGTAGAGAAAGTTGTGGAGGGTTAAAGTGAAACTCCACCTTTGAAATAGTGCAATACTGTTAGAGTAATGAGATCAAGTAGACGATTACCTCACAAGCTACGAGAACCGATCACTCTGACCTTTTCAGTGACTGTGCTGTAGGCCATGTTTCCAAGTGTGACTCTGAAGTTTCAATATCTCTGTTAGCTGCAGATCAGATCGTAATGCTTTTGTGCTGTTTTGTCTACATTTTGTTCTTTATATCTGAGGTGCTTCTGTGGTTATGGCTTATTTGGTTAAAGAGCAGGAGCAAGTGACGTTCCACATGATTTTTGACAATTATTTTGAAAAACAAATCTGTAGAAGGACAGATATTCACCAGAGTGTCTTAAAGGGGAGTTGTCTGTCCCTTTAGGGCTGTGTCATCGCTGAGGCTTTAACTGGAGAGGTGGTGACCTTGAGTGGCACCCAGTTTACGTCACATTCCTCGATTTATAAATGGTGCTGAAATGATAAATGAAACAGTGACCATGGCTCGCAGATGATGATGGACTTTGAAGTGACAGTACTGAACAGTTTAAATACATTTACATGTAAGGGTAAATTTGAGATATACATGCAAACATTGATGATCAGTGATTTTGACTGGTGAGTGAGCATCACGCCTGAAACGTTTGCCATGGAAACAGCTTTTGTTATCTAATTTCAAGATTTATGTAACAGTCTTACATTGAAATTCAGCGATCTCCTAGAATAACAAACATGTTTCACCTTTTCACGATATTCCTGTTCATAACCACTGAAAATATTAGCTCCTGGTATCTAAAGTCGCATCTGTGTTTCACCAACAAGGGCCTTGTTTTTGGACAACACATGTTCGTTTGTATATGATGTTCTCCCTCCTGGTTATGCAACACCAGTCCACAGCACAAGAAGACCTGGTTTCTATTAAAAAAGCAGACCAAACCAGTAATTTTATTTGTTAATCTGCGTTATTAAATAACAAATATCCAGTTCCAAACTAGGGCTGCATGATGGATCACAATTGTCATGATCACAATTAGCAAGTCGCAGCAACTGCAAATATTTAATTTATTTGCAAACAAAAAGGATTAATAACAATAGGCCTCTCTTGAGACTATTTTAAGGTTTATATTTTGTCTTGTTGTCGAGTAGAAGATTTTTTTTCTCATTCTAAATGAAACATCTCATCTTTTTCATAATTTATACAATCCAAATCTGTCGAAATGTGTTGCACAACTCAGATATGACTATAGGAAAGATGAAACTTCAGATAGGGTCTATCAACCTTTTTTTAATCATGATTGAGATAATCGGTTCATTCTCTTTTTCAAATGTCTCTTGAAGTTGTTATTTTTCTTTTGAACAAAATGAGATGCAACTGGATATTGTCCCAAAATCATCCAGTCTGACTCCAAACCAGTTATTTGTTCTACACATGCTTCTCCTCTCTCATCTGTGGCAGCCATATCATCTCTCACTTTTAGCAAATCTAATTATGATCCCTCCTTTTTATGCCGAAGGGAGGTCCGTGGCTCTGGTCCTCCAGGCAGAGTGACGTCAGATCAGCTGCTGACCTTGATGGGGAACATTGCTATGTATGTCTTTGTCAGTGGGAAGGGGCCAGATGCGGGGGTGGCGTATAGAAGGTGCCGCTCATTGACTCTGCCACAAATCTTCAGATCACAGCTTGTGTCAGAGGCGGGGCTGGCCTGGCTGATGATGCAGCACCCAGTCTCTGCATAAACGCTGGTCAAAACCATTTTGGTCTGTGCCATTGTTCAAAATACAACGTTCCCACTGTCTGCTGACAGCCTAAGAACATTTTGCACAAATTACCTGGTGTTTATTCTTGCAGTCACCATCCAGAATGTTTTACAGAGTTACAGGGGATAGTTGTGACAGATGGAGGGAGATATAGGATGGAAAGTACGACTCATATTGTAGATAGATTGAAACAGGCATTAAACCAGAGCACAGTTGAGATGCTTATTGCATTTAGATGCAGTTGTCTTACCATCTGCTTATGCATAATATGGGACATTTCAGACTTAAAGAATCATAAATATGGTTAATTTAGTCCCCACAATGAAAGTTGATAGCTCCCTGAATTACCCGTGACACAGAGACCGGGGCAAATTCTGGAGCCCCTTTAGGCTATGCTCTGTGCCCATCCCCCTCCCTCCTCTTCCCTCTGCCGATTCTAGCCCACTGCTACAGTTGCTGCCTGCCACTTTCATTTGCTCTCCACCGTTTGCTCCATAGCTCGATATTATGAAAATTTCAGTAGCTTTGCAGCAATTTAGTCATGCGTTACAGAACAGACCAGCACTACATCTGCATGTCATAATACTAATGTTATTTACACTGCCCGTAGTGTAGCTAAATGTCACAGTCCATGGGCCATGCAAGACATTTCTCCTTTCAGTGAAGCCTGTGTGATTTCAGTCCTTAGGCAGCCTCCTATCAGCAACTATCCATACTCTGAAAGTTATAGAAAAACACAGACAGAGCATTCTTCTTGTATCACAGATCTTGACAGAAAACAGCTTCTCAGCTGGTGTATTTGGGGCAATGTTCCTCTCCAAAAGAGTTATATTCACATCAGTTCAACAGCTTCCGTTTAGATCTGGCTACATCATGTGGCATTACCAGGACTGTTTCTGTACTCCCCGCCCCACGGCCTCCACCCGTCATATGTCTGCAAGCTTAATGTAGTCAGGGATGCCTTGTTAAAAGCACACGGCTCCATATCACTGTGCAAAAGCAGGTCGTCGTTAAAGTTTCATGCAAATTGTTATGTTTTATTTAAACAATTATGAGGTTGTCCACAGAAAGCCTCAGCATTCCTCTTTCCTCCTCTCAAAACCACCAAAGCCATTTCAGGTTGATGTGGGCCGGCTCTGCTCATCAGCACAAAAGGCTTTTCCTCTAGAAAAAATCCAAGCCATGATTGAGTGGGTTTTCTCACTCATTTGACCGTATAATGATAAATTATATATTATATAATATATTAGATTGTAAAGTGATACATTATATAACTTAAACCAAGAGCATTACCTTTAACTGTCAACTAAAAAGCACAGCACTCCATGAACAGAATGCTTACCTCATTGTGTATGTTTACTATCTTGTGTATGTTTACTATCTTGTGTATGTTTACTATCTTGTGTATGTTTACTAATGGATTTTATCTTTCTTTTTCCCCCTCGATAGACATTTATAGTGCTGAATAGAGGGAAGACAATCTTCCGTTTTAGTGCCACACCTGCCTTGTACTTCATAAGCCCTTTGAACCCAATTAGGCGATTCGCTATTAAAATTTTGATACATTCATATCCTTTTGATGAGCTTGTCTCTGCTGATAACATGTTTCTTGTTGATGTGTATTATGTATGATACTAAAATACTGTTCCAATCCAGCGACTCTTTGTCTTTTTGTTAAAAGACAGAAAGAGTCCTGCTTTACAGTAAACCTGGTGATTATCATACTCTTAAAGCGTATTATTAGCAAACATCAGCTACATCCTATGCCTTTTATTACCCTCATGTTACACGTCTCAAAATGATTGTATTCTATACATGTTGCAATGGCTCGACAAGTCTTTCTGAAAGCTCTGCTGCCTGCTTGTTTGGTCATTTGGAGAGCCAATGAACGTCCACAGAAAATACAGCAACTGAATATTTTATGCCTCAAGTAATGTCAGTGGTGGACACGCATAACCACCTTCTCTAAGTGCAGTGCCAAGGCTCATGTTCTTTGGAAACTATTTAGATCAACTCTCTCCACATTTTCCTTAACAAATTTTCCACTCTTTTCAGCATGATCATAATGTGTACCATTTTGACCAATTGTATATTCATGACCTTTAGCGATCCTCCTGAGTGGTCCAAACAAGTAGAGTAAGTATTATTTTTTCGTATTCTCCAATATCCTGCTTTGATCCAAGCCATTGACCCATGTCTGTCTTTTCAGGTACACATTCACAGGAATTTATACATTTGAATCTCTTGTAAAAATCACAGCGCGAGGCTTCTGTATAGATGGGTTTACATTCCTTCGAGATCCATGGAACTGGCTGGACTTCATGGTCATTTCTATGGCGTAAGTACATTGATAGACTTTCCATGTGTTCATATGTTTTTAGCAGAAGTTGTTCATATATAGTCATAACTTGCATCACGTACTTCTTTTTATTTGGGTCTCTGTCTGATGATTTCTATTCTGCGGAACAGAACTTCTGGATCATAGAACTTCCCATCTTCTTTCACCGCACTCTCATTCACATTCTTAATGATGGTCAGGCAATTTTAGAGACAGTCCTGTGCAAGTCAGAGCCATGTAAACAACGGCTGAACACATTTAAATAACTGTTGCTTCATAGGTTTTTTCAGGGACAGCTTGGTTCACTGTTGTATTTTTTTCTGTTATTGATTTAGTAGTCCTTTATTAAGTTTCAGGGATCCACCTTTTGTCTGCTTTACATGACATTTCTGAAAAAATCTGGCTGCTTAGAGGTTAACCATCTAAAAGTACACAAAGAGATAATTTCTTTTTTACTTATCGTTAGCAATTACAAAGCCACCACATTGCATGGAAAACACAATCTCACGTTAATGCTGGAGTATCTCACTATTGTGTGCTTGATAGAGACATGTGGTTTTGTTTGTGCTCTCTTCATCTTGTGAGAAAATATTTGATCTTTTGATCGGTCGAGTAAGGGCTAGGCTCTCTTCCACTTATCTGACTGAAATCTATGATAAGTACCTGCTTTTTTAGTTTTGGAAGTTAAATTACTCAACGTATGATCTTTTATTTATCAAATGTGAGTAATTCTACCTTTAACTAAAATTCAAATGTAGCTATTTTTGGTTGCATTCTTTCAGTGACAGGTAAAGCCCTTTTTCATGGCGCTGGTCCTGGGTTGGTTTTCCACCAGAGAAGAGAGCGAGTGCTAATTACCATAGCAACACACTGTTTACTGTCAGCAGTTAGCATTAGCCTTGCAACAAGCAGTTTTTGTCTATTTTATAGTTATATTGACCAGTTTGAGCACTTATTAAAAGTGAGTAAATGTAATATGTATAATGTAAATCTTATAAATGACTTTTTATACATCTTGTGTAAAGATAAACCTTCGGGAGTCCTAGTATATTCATATTTCTGCTAGTCCTAGTAGATTCATATTCCTCGGAGTCCTAGCAGATTCATATTTCTGGTAGTCCTTGTATTAAAGAAATGACCCTGGTTCCGTGGCTGATCCTCCTGTAAAGCTCAGGGCTGTGTAACGACTGTCCATCAGCTCTTTCTCTTCATGTAAATAACGCTCTTGTAACTGTGGTTTGATCCTGCAGGTATATAACAGAGTTTGTAAACCTAGGCAATGTCTCAGCTCTGCGCACGTTCAGAGTGTTGAGGGCATTGAAAACTATTTCTGTAATTCCAGGTAAGACAGGATTGGGCGGTGGGCAGGGTCGGGGCGGGTCGGTGTTTGCTCTGTGTCTTGTCTCTCTTTCCTTACTCCTTCCACCCTTCTCCTCAGTGGACAGGCTCTGTGACTGGTCCTCCTCTCCTGGTTCGGTGGTGGTGGTGCTGGTGTTGTGCTTTTGACGTGTGTGGTTTTGTCATCGTGTTTGTTCTGTGTGTGATCCTTCCCCTATTTCAGATATATAACAGAGTTTGTGGACCTGGGCAATGTATCTGCGCTGAGAACATTCAGAGTTCTCCGAGCACTCAAAACAATCTCTGTCATTCCAGGTGAGACTCAGTTTAAACACTAAGGCTGATCCTCTCACCCTTTCTTTTCTGCTCACTATTCTTATTATGATTACGATTTTGATTTTTGCAACAACTGAAGAATTGGAGCATTTTTTTATTTCATTTTTTTCTCCAAAATTATCAAAAATGGTACTAATACATTTTTGATAGGCTTTGCAGTCTCCTCTAGGGCCAGTCGCTTTCTCATTAAGAGGCCCCTCTTGAAGGCAGGTGTGAATTCTTCCAGATGTACTTTCAGCACGCTTTTATCTAACCCACATCTTACTATGCTCTATATCTGTGGTTCTCAACTGGAAACGTGACCCACTATAGAAATATAGAAATAATGTAAATCCCTGTATATTACTTATGTATGTAAGTGATGGTTTTTTAAAGGAATAGGCCACCGTTTTTACATACTGACATTTGTTCTTACCTTACCTTAGACTAGTTGATATGTACCTGTCTGGTCTTTGTCCGTGCGCTCTGTCATGCAAACGGAGCACAAATGCAGCCTCTTCCACAGACTGTCTAGTTCCAAATCAGCTCCTGTTAGAAGCTACCAAACTCTTCCACGTTTTCCCTATTTAAATACAGTTACGTGACATGTTTCACTACAAAGTATCAAAGTAACACAGAAATGTAACATGCCAATTTTCTCAGCGGATAAAAAGGGGTACTATATTGTAAGGCGTAATAATACGAGGAGCACTACGTCCGTGCACTAACTCCTAAAGACTTCTCTCCCGCTCACTTCCGTCAATAGAAGCAGCGTGGCTCAGTTGGTAGAGCATTGGTCTTAGAGCCTGAAGTTGTAGGTTCTACAACTTCAGGCCCATGATGAGACCTTCTCCACCGACTCCCACTGATGTCTGCTGTCGTTGTGTCCTCGGGCAAGACACTTAACCCTGCTTTCCCTGAAGCCCCCGTTGAAGGATAAAGGCTATGCTCACACAAATTTCAAACATTTTTCCCATAAAAGACATGCTAAAAATGATCCCCCGGCCCACCACTTGAGAACCACTGCTCTCTTTCACACAGGCAATATCTCACATTGGTTCGGTGCATTTAAAGGAGAAGAAACACAAGTTACTTGTAACTACAAAAAATAAAGAATGTTAAACAATTTACTATTACTCTTTCCAGTCAATAAAAAAAAAAAGAAACTTTTTGTTTCTCCCTTAGCCTCATGCTATAAAGAATGTAAAGGATTGGATTGTAAGGATGAAGTACTTAAACGTTTTAGCTTATGAAGCCAACAGAAAGTCCCTTTACTTATGCATGAAGACTGCCAAGCCTAGTCTGTGAACATATCTCTTGCGCTGCATGATGCTTTTCAGTCACTTGCTTTTAAAATACTAGCCTATAAGAGCTTGGCTGTCAAATGGCATTTGATTTGCCCTTTGTTCTTACTTTGGTTATGGATTTATTTTCTTAAAGCCTACATGAGTGATATATGACACACTAGAAAAACTCAGCAAATACAAATGATAAAGGTGAACATATGGATCACGAAACAGAACACTTATTTTAAGGAACAGTTTCATTTTTATTATTATCGCCTCCCATGAGAGGTTTTGTAGCAGAGTTTGCCAGTTTGCCAATTCATCTGTTAATTTTGCACATTGGGGAAAGTTATAACATTGAGGTGAAGTATAATATTTTTTAGGTGACCTGGATTACTGTAATGAGTAATATTTTGCTTTTAAAATCACAGCTAAAATGCTCAAAGGGACTACGCAGTGCTGTATCCAGATATTCTCCGGCTGATCTGGGCTGTACACACATGCAGCAAAGTCTGTAACTTCAGTAGTTAGTGTTTGAACACAGAAGTATCTTCTTCAGAGCAGAGGGGGGTGAAGGGAGAGACGAGGCATCAGTGCAGCAATATGATCTTGTATTTTCACCACATGTTTATAGGCCAATGCACGCCTTATGTAATTAAGACGAAAATAAAAATAAAAAGCACAAGCAAGGACCATGAGAGCACCATGCACTCATGGTTCCACGCTGATGTGGCTCTGCCCAGAGAACGGAGGTTTAAGATAGACATATACTTTATGAAGGAGTGGAACTGTGCCCCTTTGGCAGATGTCTGTGTTCTACGAGTGCTTTTGTAGTTATTATTCTTATTTACAATGATTTTAGTTATAGTTGTTCTATGATGAAAATATACTTTTCAGACACAAGACCATATGAAATAATCTAGCCATAGGCTCTGGTTGGACTCAGGGTGTGGTCTTGCCCGCTGCCCCTGGATGTGGAAGCCCTGCCTGAAGGTAATCTGTGTGGAGTGAACGAGAAAGACTGCAGGGTCATGTTTTGGAGAGTGCTTTGCTCTAAAAATTGTTCAAGACAGTTCAAGAAAGTGCCCTGAGTGGTGCTGGCATTGAACTGGTCCTGTTCAGCCTTGGAGTTTAAATGACTGCATGTGTTTTCCAACCCCTGCCTGTGCTGCTGTGCTCTCCCCCTTATGAACTTCACTTTTCTGCAGCCTTCCCCCTCTTTTTCCCTTTATCAATCTATATTATTAACGTGCAAAAACAATTTGTGTATTCTTTAATCAATGAGTTTAAATTGTGGGAAGGCTCCTAAATATTTTGTGTTTGTTTTTTGTTACATGTAAATGAATTGTATCTATTAATCATTTTGTTCTCCATTCATATACAATTACATTTACTTTTTAAATTAAATCATTTAGTATCAATTATATTCAAATTGTGTGAATAATTTCTAATTGTACTAACATTTCAGAAGAGCAGTGCAAAGAATGATCTAAACTGAAACACACACACATTAAGTATACTTTATTGAAAACAATGTCAAACAGGAATCATGAATATTAGCCTTGTGCATAAGAACATGTGATGCTGGCTGCAGTGCATCACTGTGTGGTCTTGTGCGTGTGCGTTCCCACTTCAGGACTGAAGACCATTGTGGGCGCCCTGATCCAGTCTGTGAAGAAGCTCTCGGACGTGATGATCCTCACGGTCTTCTGCCTCAGCGTGTTTGCTCTCATTGGGCTGCAGCTCTTCATGGGAAACCTGCGTCAGAAGTGTGTGGTGTGGCCCATCAACAGCACGGAGAGTTACCTGGCCAACGGCAGCAAGGGCTTCGACTGGGACGAGTACATCATGAACGACAGTAAGTGTGCTGGCATTACCATAGTCCCATAGTCCGGTCACGAGTACCCCCAGCGAGGAAGATAACTTTCACGTGGGTCAAATATGTTCAAGTACATAGAACCATGTTTTTGAGTTGACTGTTTTATTAAAGTTTTCTTCATTTTCTTTATGGGAAGTTTGATTTTAGCTCATCTTCTTAATCTGGCTATTTTGATACATTGTTATTTTTATTTTTTACCTTAAGTAGGCTTTATTTTGCCCATTTTTTGTTGTGTTTATTAAACTTTACCTTAAAATGAACCAAAAGTATGAACCGCTTGTTATAGCAGACTGATTGTAAATGTTTATTATTTAAATAATGTATGTTTTTTCTTGAGACAATTCTCATATAGTTACATGGATTTTATGTCATTTTTATTTTGATTAGAGTCTTCTTTGACGTATAAATTAACTAGCAACTCTAGAATCTTTTTGCATTGCATTTCAAAGCCAATATAACATGGATGTAATATTTTTAAGCATTTGATTGAATTGTTATTTACTATTATAAGCTATTCAAACATTAATTTCTTTCATCTCTTGTTCTTCAGCCAACTTCTACTTCCTGCCTGGTCAGTTAGATGCCCTGCTTTGTGGAAACAGTTCGGACTCTGGGTGAGTTCCTGTCATTGTTATTGCCCCTGGTCCCAGTGAGAATGCAGAGTTTATTTGGACCCGTGCCTGATGCTGCTTCTGTCTCTGCCCTCAGCCGCTGCCCAGAGGGATACATGTGCATGAAAGCCGGGAGGAATCCAAACTATGGCTACACCAGTTTTGACAGCTTCGGCTGGGCTTTCCTCGCTCTCTTCAGGCTCATGACCCAGGACTTCTGGGAAAATCTCTACATGCTGGTATGTCAGCAAATAAACAGCAAGAAAGATGAAGGATACATTCTTTAATCTAAAGTGTAAAAAGAAACCTATACTGTTATTTGATCAGTGTTTGAGCTTACAATTGTCCTCTCCTCTAGATGTGGACAGATTGATATTCTATTTGTAGTAGAATTGACTTTGAATAATGTGTGTTAATTATTAAACATAACATGTATCTTAATGTATGTATCATGTGGGCCAAACGTATCCACAACTAATGATCCAGAAATGTTCTCATTACTATTCCAAGAATAATTATTTAGCTTTAAGTATCTAACCAAAAGGGGAAAAAAATGAAAGATGCAAACAAGTTAACATGGATATACTGTACATATACACATCTGCAGCCTAGATGTTAATCTTAATGTTAGGAAAATAGTTCCAAATGCATTCTCTACTCATTCTGAGACCCCTTAACAGAAAAAAAAAGTTGGTTAATATGCCCTCTAATATTTAAGTTTTGTCCACTAGAATCCTAGTGCCCTGTCCTCAACCCACTGTCAAGAGGAAGCAAATGCAATTCTGCTGAGTTTTGTCCTTAGAAATGCCACATCCGAGCATTAGCTGACGTCTTTGTCATTGTGTGACAAAGACACACTTTAGGGTTGTGGTCCCGGTGTCATCCCCTGTGTCCTCTGATATATGGACAGATGGATGTATTTAAGTGTCATTTGACCCTGTGTCCCCTTCCTCCACACAGACCCTACGAGCTGCTGGAAAGACATACATGATCTTCTTTGTGCTGGTCATCTTTGTGGGCTCCTTTTATTTGGTCAATCTCATCCTGGCTGTGGTCGCTATGGCCTATGAGGAGCAGAACCAGGCCACGATGGAGGAAGGCCTGCGAAAGGAAGAGGAGTTTAAAGCTATGTTGGAGCAACTAAAAAAACAACAAGAAGATGCCCAAGTAAGCCTTGGGCATTGGGCATAAGCTTCACTACCACACTCTTATGGCTCTGACATAACTTTTATTTTGTTTTTTGTTTTCCTAGGCTGCTGCTATGGCAACATCCGCGGGTACAGTTTCGGAGGATGCGGTCGAAGATGACGGAGGGGGACATCTATCATGTAGTTCTTCAGAGATGTCAAAACTTAGCTCCAAGAGTGCCAAAGAGCGCCGCAATCGCAAGAAGAAATGGCGTCAGAAAGAGCAGGAGAAAGAGAAAGGCGACAGCGAAAAGTTTGTTAAATCTGAGTCCGATGAGGGAATCAAAAGAAGTCGCTTCCGGTTTCCAGATAATCGCCTTGGTCGAAAGTCTTCCATAATGAACCAAGTAAGGACTGTCTGTTGAACTATGTAGTCAAAGCTATTGTAATTATGTCCAAATAACAAATTAAAATGACAAATAATATGATTGTTTTAATATAGTTATAATATTAACCCTTTGACAGCTTGGTTTTGGTTTACTATAATGTGCTATTTTTGTTTCCTGGCCTCTGCTGCAGTTGTAACACCTCCCACCAATAAGTGCTGTAGATACATGGCACATGTGGTTATAAATGTGATTTATTTGTTGTGAGCAGCTGTAATGATACACAGATCAATACTTACAGCAGTTCAGATGCTTCCCATGGCTCATGCTCTGGTTGGCGGTGTACCAGCTGCTCAAGCGTGGATCCCTGCTCTGCCTGTAACCTTGACAGCAAAAGGGTATCACTGACCTAATTATCCCCCTCATATGACAGATCACATGACGGCTACAGAGGAAATGCCACCTCAGGGAAAACTCTGTTTGTTGTACATCATTTTTTACGTCCCAAACAAGCTGGAGCAATTATAGTAATTTAAAAGCAACTTAAGGAATACATATTATGTATTATTCTTGGCTTATAATAAGGATGATGCCACTCTTTACTTCATGTTTGAGAATGTGAAATAAGATCTTAATCAGAAAATTGCAAAACAAGTGTGAAGGATAAAACGTGCTTTCCCCTGAGACAGCAGTCTTTTAGATAGAACGAGCGGAGTCACATTTTTGAGCCGGAAGTTCCTGATATTAGCGCAGCTGGATCTAGGCCTGTGGTTGATGAGGAAACATGGTTGTAATATGGTCAAAAGCTCAAAGAAGATGATTTTGCATTCTGTATACAATAAGTGTCCTGATGGGGCTCTCCTCTCTTTGCTCTGCAGTCACTCCTCAGCATTCCCGGCTCACCTTTCCTATCACGGCACAACAGCAAGAGCAGCATCTTCAGCTTCAAAGGCCGCGGTAAAGACGTTGGCTCAGAGAATGAGTTTGCAGATGACGAACACAGCACAGTGGAGGAGTGTGAGGAGCGCAGAGGGTCCTTGTTCAGCCCATACAGACGCAACAGCTACACCGGCTTTCACGGCAAGAGGAACAGCACAGTTGACTGCAACGGCGTGGTGTCCCTTATCGGCCCCGGGCCCGGTGGACGCCTTCTGCCTGAGGTGAAAATAGATAAGGCAGATTCTGATGACAGTGTAAGGAAGTCTATGAGTATATGAGTAGACCTATCTAGGCATGGCCCTACCGTCCGAATCTCTCTTTCTGATTCTTTTATTCTCATCTTGCAAGTTTCGTATGTATCTCTTGGCTAATCGCTCGTGCCCCCCCCCACTCCTGCAGTGTATGCTGCCCTCCAATAATAGGCAAAGGATGGAGAAATACAAATATTTATGTAGGAGCCCCCTATTTAACCTCTATAAATAATTTGTTCTAAATTGTTTTCGTCACTGACTTCCAACATCATTGTTTTGTTGGTTCCTATAGTAGTAGTAATCCTCAAATCTACATGTTTTTCAGAAACTATGATACGAGTGTGTGCAGCGTCATGATATATTATCTAAATTAGTATTTAGGATTATTACAAATGTTTTTAGGACATTATATTGATATTTGTAAAAAGCTTATCTGATGAGTTGATATGGTCCAGAGTGTTGACGACTTCCTCCTCCCTGCTACTCTGAGGGGGTAGATCTATACAGTACATGATACAGAGAGGATCAGCACATGCATATATTTACATACTGTAACATGGAAATGTCAACATCTGATAAGGTCTCTTTGTAAAAAGGAGGGCTGCTGTCCTTGTTTGTCTTCCTTTTCTCTGTTTCCAAAATTCTCCCTGGTTGACTTTAGGAAACTAGTTTGTCGTCTTTGTAGTTAGCATGATAATTGAAGTCCTAAATAACACAAAGCATGATAACATAGTGGTGGTAGTAGACTTAATGCTCTTAGCTGTAGCAGTAGTAGTAGTAGTAGTCTTAATTTATTGTGTTTGTAATCTCATCTCCTTCTCTTTGACTTGGAGCATGTCTGTGCATGACAAATGAATGAATTTGAATTATATGCCTCATATGAACTTTACAATGCTCTTGACTGTATGGTTGCAATATAAATTGTATGGTTTCAAATTAGGAAGATAAAGTACTGTGATTTCAATACATGTACAATGGCCAGAATTGGGAGATATTATATAAACTAGTTTTGACCTAATAATTATATTGCAATGGCAACAAAGCCTCCATTATTGCATGACAGGACTGAAGATGCATTCAATCAAAACAGCTCTCCTCGCACAAACTCTCATGTCTTATTGAATCTGGATGAGCTACTTACATCCAAACACGATTAGGTCCGAAAACACTGCTCCCACTTTGGCTGAAACCTGCATGCATTTACAGCAAACACACATCTTCCTTGAAACCAGCATTGAGATAAAAAATAATGGGAAAAAAAAATGTCCTGTTGCTCACTCTGAGAAATCTGATCCTAAACTACTCTTTCCTGCCAATGCTGTTGTGCACTTCCCTCCGCCGGCCAATGATGGTGCTGTGGGATGGTGTTCATGTCGTCTCCATGGGTGCTTGATTCTTCCTCTCCTCCTGACAGCCAACCACTGAGGTTGAGGTGAAGAAGAAGCTGTCGGGCTCCCTGATGGTGTCTGTGGACCAGCTCAATACCTCCTTTGGGCGGAAAGAGCGGGCCAACAGTGTCATGAGCGTCATTACCAACACACTAGTGGAGGGTACTGCCATTTAACCCTGCTATTTAACCTGCTCTCTCATTACTATTCTTTTATTAGGCTGCTATCATTGATTGACAAGTTTGACATGATTTCCTGCTCATTTGCTTTGCATATCCAGTACCAGATACATACAATGCATAAATTAATTACCATTGCATGCATATTTCTTTGGCACGTGCAGTATGTTTGATTTTAACGACTGATCCACACTATGTCTTCAGAACTGGAAGAGTCTCAGCGCAAGTGCCCCCCTTGTTGGTATAAGTTTGCTAACAATTTCCTGATCTGGGAGTGCTCCCCAAGGTGGATCAAGATCAAGGAGATTGTGAACCTCATAGTGATGGACCCCTTTGTGGATTTAGCCATTACTATTTGTATTGTTCTCAACACTCTTTTCATGGCCATGGAGCACTACCCGATGACCACTGACTTTGAAGATATGCTGTCTGTGGGCAATCTGGTGAGTGTGTTATTGTATGGTTTTATTATTTCTGTGTTGTGTAATTAGGAAGTAGTAGTGATGATAGTAGTAGTAGTATTAGTAGTAGTTGTAGTAGTAGTAGTAGATGCATCTTGAAATGTCACCTGAAAGGCTCGCACCAATCCTTTGAAACATCAAATAATTATCTTTTGTCCTGAAATAAAGGGAACACTACCTAACAGGTGACCTTTGGAGATATTTTGGGAACAGTTGCTGTCAGAAATGTGAAAGAACAAAGCGCGATATTCATCTGTGTCTTGTGTTTCTTGTGTTCCTGTGCAGTATTCGTGTTTGTTTCATGTCTTTTCATTGTCACGTTTCTCTCTTCTGGTTGAGTGAGGCTTCAGAGGGACCAGTCTCACCGGTTGGCTGACTGGTGGGAGGCCTCCATTAATGTTTCATGCTGCTTGATCGATGGAGGCTCTGAAATGGTGTCTTGAGTCACTGCACAGATTACTCAACCTGGCCATTTTCAATGTAGTATTTTAGGAAAGCCGAGACAAACTGTCATTGGGTATTGCATAATTGATATCAAATAAGAGGGATTGTTAAACTGCTACAACTGTGCAACTTCCAAAGAATTCTCTAAAGAAAATAATGCTACTGCGACTACCATGGAGTGTATATGTGCATCATTAAGGACTACAGGTGTGGCCTTTTAAATTACATACAGTATATCCACAGACATTTACATTCAGGCTGAATCTACAAGGCTGGACATTTGTGTTCTAATGTTACACATTACACTGAAAAAAAATAGTCTTTATCAAGTTAACAATATCAATGTGCCACTGGTTTAGAGTGGCAGTTATCATATTGCGGACTACGCATTGAATGGTGAGGTTCTTAAATAAATACCCAGCTCTAGAATGCTATGTATTTATTAATACATGTCTCTGGTTTTAAGAGAAACGTTTTTTAAGACAAAAATATAGGTTTTTATGAGAATATAACTAGTATATATTAAATATAGTTTGGTCAATTGTCCATTTGTCACTTGTTCTGATGTATGTATAAACCACTATTGATAATGCTACAGCACTTCCCAGTGGTCAGTTTCCTGGTCTATTGAAGTTTCTCCCTATAAGCTTGAGTCACTATAGATGTTTTGATGAACTTCCCCTTCTGATGATCAGCCTCTTGTCACACACATTTGTTCTATCCGTCTGCTCGAGGGTCACACTGCCACCAGGTTTTATAGTGTTTCTAATCCAAGCTCAGGTCAGTTGAAGTGAAGCTCATGCAAATTTCCGAATACATTTTGTTAATGTACTTTACACAAACTTTTCTCATTAAAACAAGACCTAAGTTAATGCAATAAGCGTCCATAATAACGAGTTAATAAACAGAATTTCACAAATTAAATAGTTGTGCATGATTATAAAGAGTGTGGTCACTTGAACAATGCATGTGTCTCTCTGCCAGGTGTTCACAGGGATCTTTGCTGGTGAGATGCTCTTCAAGCTTGTGGCCATGGATCCATATTATTACTTCCAAGAGGCGTGGAACTGCTTTGATGGTTTCATTGTGACTCTGAGTTTAGTGGAGCTGGCTCTGGCAGACGTTGAGGGTCTCTCTGTGCTGCGCTCTTTCCGATTGGTAAATTAGGTTCCTCCTTTTATAACTGAATTGCCTTTTTGTTACAAATGTTGTTACTATGGTTTTTTTCTGCTTTTCTCCTTAATTACACATCAGTTTATTGTTGACTGATTTATCAGTATATCAGTTAACAATTTTGTTTTAGTACAGTTACAATCCTAATTTCAATACACATGTACATGCATACACACATTACGCAAACACACGCATGGTAGGCTTGCACGCACGCACACACACACACACATACACACGCACGCACACGCACACACACACACACAATTTGCAATAATTGCCTTTTATGGGTGCGTTCACATTAGTGGGTCTGGTTCCCTTTAACTTGACCAAGTCTGGTACAAATCTTCAAATACATTTGAAGACAGCAAAGTAAACATAGGAGGCACAAAATCTAACTATTTGTTTCTATTTTTTAGCTGAGAGTATTTAAACTGGCCAAGTCATGGCCCACCCTAAACATGCTGATCAAAATCATTGGTAACTCAGTGGGAGCCTTGGGAAACCTGACCTTGGTGCTGGCCATTATTGTCTTCATCTTTGCTGTGGTGGGGATGCAACTGTTCGGCAAGAGCTACAAAGACTGTGTGTGTAAAATCGCCAAGGACTGCGAGCTGCCCCGCTGGCACATGAACGACTTCTTCCATTCATTTCTGATTGTCTTCCGGGTTTTGTGCGGAGAGTGGATTGAGACCATGTGGGACTGCATGGAGGTCGCTGGTCAGGGCATGTGCCTCATTGTCTTTATGATGGTCATGGTCATTGGTAATTTAGTGGTGAGTTTTACAAAAATATGATTTTTAAAATGACTTTGGCGGTTTTGGGCTTGTGATGTAATGATATTTTCTTTTTATGTCCAGGTGTTGAACCTGTTCCTTGCCTTGCTGCTGAGCTCGTTCAGTGCTGATAACTTAGCAGCCACAGACGATGATGGGGAGCCAAACAACCTGCAAATTTCTGTTATGCGTATCAAGAAGGGGATTGCCTGGTTTAAATCAAAGATGCGGATTGTGATGGCCAGTTTGTTAAAAAAGCCACTTATGGAAGATGAGCAAAAACCTCTGGAAGACATGTATGGAAACAAAGTGAATTGCATCGCAAACCACACTGGGGTGGATATCAACCGAGACATGGACTACACCAAGAACGGTAACGGGACGACCAGTGGCATTGGCAGCAGTGTCGGCAAGTATGTCCTGGACGACGCCCACATGTCTTTCATCCACAACCCAAACCTGACCGTCTGTGTGCCCATCGCTGTGGGAGAGTCGGACTTTGAGAACCTCAACACCGAGGATTTCAGCAGCGAGTCAGACATTGAAAACAGTAAAGAGGTGAGTGTACAGAGATGATCAATGAGCTATTTTTAGCTGTTAGCACTAGAGATTTTATTTTTGTTTTTGTAGTTTTGTGATAAACTCTATATAAAGCATTAGAATACAAATAAACTGTAATACATTGTATATGTTGTGGGCTGCATGAGTTCACAGACTGTGGCTCTGAAGTGCAAACGTCACCAAGATGTTACTAATGTCTCTCTTTCACTGCAGCTGGATGACACTAGCTCATCAGAGGGCAGCACCATCGATATCAAGCCTGACGTGGAAGAAGTGGTTGTGGTGGAGACGGTCGAGGAGTACATGGAGCCAGAAGCATGTTGGACAGATGGTGAGGTTACTGTTTCTTTTCCCGTCTATTGTCATTGCACTACTCTCCTGGAGCATGAGTCCTGATTGATAGTAGGTCACATTTGCAGAAACAAATGTAATTGTTAGACTATTTATTTGTGAATGCATATATATATAGCTGAACAATTGAAAGAACTTTGATGTTTAATACTGAATGACAGGAAATGCAAAAAGCTATAAAAAATTACAACACACTCTGTTCTGTGTGTCTGTAGCATGTGTGGCCAAGTACAAGTGCTGTGCTCTTGACATCACGATGGGCTGGGGAAAGAACTGGTGGTTCCTGAGGAAAACCTGCTATCTGATTGTCGAGCACAACTGGTTTGAGACCCTCATCATCTTCATGATCCTTCTCAGTAGTGGTGCCCTGGTGAGAAACCTCTTCTTGTAAAACTGTTTTTAAAAGGAACCTTCGTTTAGCATATGCACTAGTAGAAGCAGGTGCTCTTAGCTGTAGCGACTCAGTTGTGGCAGGGCTAACTAGATATGATTGTTAAGAAATGTCAAAAGGTAAAACAGATTATTGTCCCCTCACAGTAAAATAAAGTCTATACATTATTTACATTACCTTCCCATGATCTGTAATCATTTAAAGCCATGGTCCTGTATCCGTGTGGCTGATGTCTTGTCTTCCACAGGCGTTTGAAGATGTGTACATTGAACAGAGGAAAACTATTCGAACTATTCTGGAGTTTGCTGACAAGGTGTTCACTTACATCTTTATCCTGGAGATGCTGCTCAAGTGGGTGGCTTACGGGTTTGTGAAGTACTTCACCAATGCCTGGTGTTGGCTGGACTTCTTTATTGTCGATGTAAGTCTGACTATTCTCTCAATATATTTATGTGTAATATTTGTTATTAAGGGATTTTCCTAGATTATCAGCAATACCACAATTCAACAGCAACACACATTAAGCAATTAATATACAGTAGAAGACTCCCTACTGTGTAAAAATACAATTGATTGTTTTTCACTGTCTGAAATGAGACTTCAGAAAGTCATATAAATGATTTAAAGTAATTACTAAGAAATAATTTAAATAACTATAAATTACTTAAAATCTGAAAATTTGTATTTATAGTTTCTTTAATATAAATTCCTCATTATAGTTTTCTGTTGGATGTGGTAAAAATAGCAGATTTACATTTTTGTGACATGATGGAAATTTGATGTTGTGGCATATTGCATTAAAATTGGTTTAGAATTCAAATGATTGGGGCTGTGCTTTGCAAGACTACGTCTGTCCCTGATAAGTGCTTATGGCTCCATAATATTTAAACTCCATCATGCAGCAGTTTCTATCTTCCTTTCAATTACACAACTCTGGGACGCTTGAATGTGTGGTTATACTCATAAACGCTATGATAATTCAAATGATTTTATACAAAGATTTTACTGAATTAAACAATAGCAGACCTATAACCAAATCATATTCAAGTCATTCTCAGAGCCGATGTTTCCTGTCTCTTTACCCTGTAACGTTTGATGCGTTTCTGCCTTTTCGTACTTTTCTGCTTGTGTCTTTGTCTGAAAGTAAGCCCAGACCTATGAGCATTGCTTTTTTTCTCTCTCATCCTTTAAAAGTTACACTAAATGCACGTTGATTCGTTTCGTCATACACCATGGAGCTGTGAAGTGGACAAAGCTTCAGATTCTGGAAATTAAATTCTCCATTCAAAAGCTCCAAAGGAGTTTTGAAAATCCAAATATCAAGAGTCTGAGGACGCTGCGGGGGCTAAATAACTACCTGTTTTGAATCTTGTTTAACAATTATTTCAAATACTATGGAATTATGTGACATTTTACTTCCTGAACAGGAAGCTCCAGGAAGCTCCACATTGCAGCTCCATGCTGACTTACAATTGTGTTATGTATTCAGCCTTGTTCACTTTCAAGAGAAAACAGAATGCTGCGAACCTCTGGCTTTCTGCTTGATTTAACCTCCACCTCTACGTCAGCAAATATTTAAAATATATGAATATATGGTAGAGGTTGCCACATAGACGTATTGTATATAGTACATGTTTATCATAAAATTCAGTGAATAATATGTAATCATTAATACAGATAAAATCACGCCATTGTAGACTGATTTGCTGTTGGTGTGTTGCCACTTGTGGAACTCAAGCTGTGAACAGACTGATATCCCTTCTTTCTCCTCCCTCCTGTTGTCTTCCTCCTACACCTTTTCAAAGTATGACCCAGAAATGTGTTGAGATTGTGCTTAGATTTAATGATGGTGTGACAGGCAGTTGGTGGTAAGTGTGGTCTTCACAAAGCCCCTCTGAAAACACGTCGGTGGTGAGTTTGGCTTGTGCTGTGGCCTCTGCTGTCTTGTGTTGTGATCCGATGCTATACAATGGGGCACCATCATTAGACTGGCCAGTTTGTTTTCCTCATCCCTTTTCATTCATTTCCCTCCTATCTTATTTTATTATATGTTTAAATTGTTTAAAAGATGCAGATATTTATTTGTCATTCTTCAGTCATCTTTCTTTTCCACTCAGATTATTTCATTGTTCTGTTTCTTTTTTATTTTAGTTTGTTTCATTTGGCTTTGGTTTTTGCTGTCGTCATCATGGGACCACAGCATCAGATGTCACTGGCCTTGCCTTGCAGAGCCAATGAGAAGGACCACTCCCAACACTGGCTCAGCTGGGGTCAGAAGCCAGGTACCCCTAAAGGGGATCAGGCTGAAGGTGACAATAACCTTGAACTAGCATCAGGCAAAATCTTTATTTGACTTCCTCACACATTTGTTCAACTAAATTTAACTAAATGTGGACACAATTCTTTATACTTTAACAAAGCTACAATTTGCAACAAAATGTATAACATTCAATTACAATGTTCTAACATTCTAATGACTAATAACTGTGTCTTCTATTGAACAAACAGTGAGACCTTTAAATTCAGTCTCTTATTTGTTTGCTGTCTAAATCAAGATTTTGCTTGCTTAATCCTCCCCCGTGACTTGGTAAGCTTTGAGTGTTGTGTCCTTTTTACGGTGAGTTTAATGAGTTGTTGTCAGTGGCTGGTTCAAAGTGCCAATGTGTTGTTGTTAATCTTACTTATGTGTTAAAAAGGAGCTGGCATCATAAGACCTATTAGTTTTTTTCTTTAAAATGTAAACATGAACAATTTGATCAGAACTCTACACTTTAGTGGGAACACTATTCCCATTAAACTTTATTATACAGCATTTAACTTTGTGAATCCCTTTTTAATTGTGTGCCTGGAAGTAATAAAGAAACCATGGTTACTAAAATGACAAAATAGATAAAAGGAGGATACAAAATATTTACAATAAAACAAATTTGAATGAATAAACAACAATAAATCAAAGGAAGGAAGTAAACTAAACTGAACTAAAAACCTTGCTCTAATTGGTCAAGTGCACTCGGTTCATTTAAGAAGCAACAGTCACTAAACAAACGTACTACAAAGATTACAAAGCAAAAACTCACTAAACTAACACATCTGTTATATATTACAGTCATTTTCTTGTTCAAGTGAAAATGTATTATTCATTTCTAGTTACTATCAAAATAACTCAAGTTCCACAGTAACTATTGTAGTATAGTTACTGTGGAACTTGAGTTATTATTACTGCCAGCTTTTTACAATCTGAGGCTGATATTGGCATGATCCTCTACCAGAAGGTCATTATATTTACTAAAAAGAAGAAATTTAAATATGTAACAACATAATGAGGCATAAAAGAATGATAATTTTAGGGGTGTTCTTGGTATCTGCATGTCTGCTGAGGGACAATAGGGGGAGAAAACAAAACCATTACTTTCCCTGTTAGGCTCTTGCCAGTTTCTTGTTGAGGTCTTGTGTCAATCCTTAGCACCTGTGTTCATACCAGGTGTAATGCCGTCCTTTCAGTGCCATCCAGTGTTATTATATTAACCTGTTATTAACCATAATTGTTCTACTCCTAACCTCCGTCCCCTTTCTGGTGTGTTGTTAATGTGTATAGCTCCTCTTTCACTATAGTGCTGTGAGCTATGAATGAATGTGTAAACGTTAACAGCAAAATGACAGACTTGTACATGTTTACCTGTATTCTTTCTCTTAGGTCCCATTAGTTTTTCTGTCTTAAATTATATGGGAATTAATGCCTCATCCCAGGAAGGACATGGAGAGACATTGTTAGAGGGGCAAGGGTAAGGCTCTCAAGTCTGTTGGGTTTTTATGAGCTTCTACAGGGTAACCAATCCCCTCTCCCTTAACTCCTCTTGCTCACCCCACCCTTCTGCTTGAATCTGAACTAAATCATGTAGCACTCTCCCTAATTTAAACTTCTCTCTCTCTCTCTCTCTCTCGCTCTCCCACCCCATTCTCTCTTTCAACCAACAGTTTCTTTACAGGTACAATGGATTTTCCCTCTTGTCAACTTCCCCAAATAACAGAACAAAATAATCCCTGCAACTAAAAATACTACGCACATACAACCTATACTAAACATTGACCTTCTCTCTTGGTGTATATACATGTATAAATGCAATATTATACATGCATATACATGCATAGATTTATGTGTGTATGTCAACAAGTCTCCACCTATGCCAGGGCCGGCTCTTCCCTAGTGAACCTCACTTCTAACAGTCTGGAACCTCTTTTGCTTCTCTGTTTTTGTGTAGGTGTCTATAGTCAGCCTTGTAGCTAATGCGCTGGGCTACTCCGATCTAGGGCCCATTAAATCACTCAGGACACTAAGGGCCTTGAGACCCCTCAGAGCCTTGTCACGTTTTGAAGGGATGAGGGTAAGATCCAAAGCTAAGCAGCTGATCCTTCCGCATGCCCATTCAACAGTTTTAAGCATGCTAGAACTGATTTAAAACAACCTCCAGACAAAAAATTCCAATCTATTGGAGTATTTTTTCTTAACAATCAAATGAAAGTTAAAAAAAAATCACCTTTCCATGCGCAATCTCGTACCATACCTCTGTTAGAGCTAAACAACAAGTCATGATGCAGCTGGGGACTGACTCAAGTTAAATGACTTCTGACAAATTTATAATTGGATACTTGGATACTAAAACATACTCTGCTAATTAAATATTGTATTAAGAAATTCATTACACAAAGCTGCATCATCACAAAACTTAAAAAAAATCATTTTGTTGATTGACCAAAGTCAGTTTGAAATTGGTCAAGGCTAACCAAACTTACATGCCATCTCATAGAGCATTCAAATCAACAAATAGCTGATTGTCAACCACTGCTTTCCAGCGAAACCCCCTCCCTCTCACATGCCCTCAGATCCCCTAACCCTTCCTGGCTCACATTCATCTCTCACTGCATTTGATGTCGAGAACAACCAGCAGGAACCAGGTAGCACCAAAACACCAATCATGTTTTCTGTAGTAAAGAAATAGAACTTTGTTTCATAGTCAATAGTAATACATGTTTGATGAGCTATAGTTGCTTCCTCCATCTCCTCCTACAGGCATTTGATTGGCCGTCCTTGTGACTGGCAATAGTGTAAGGTTGCACCTGGTTGTTGTCACTGTATCCCTTTTTCCTCTTATCTCTATAAACATTTGGACCCCTCTCTTCCATGTTATTGGACTGATTGCCTGAAGTTTGAGCTTTTCTTCACCCCTTTCAATCAGATCACATATGCAGTAACACATGTCCATCTTCCCTTTCCCTTCTTTCCTTTTCACCCTGCACCCTTCACTGCTCCCTCCCATCAACCTGGTTCGGCTGGGATGGGCCAAGAGAGGGTCAAATGATTCTCCTACTTGTCCAGGATCTTTCTGCATCCGAGACTCAGACAGAACCCACAAACTTATAGTTTGTGGCTTTGGGAGGAAAAAAAAACATTTGTCAAGCTTCTGCCAACTATAGTATTAAAATGTTAAGCATTAGGCAAAGCTGAGCAGGCGTGTGTTGGTAATGACTATAACTTCAATTCATCAAATTGACTGCTCCTTTACATGCAGAGGCTTAGCAAATATGAGAAGCTATCATTATACATGACACTAGCTGTCCCACCATGCCACATACAGAGCATACAGCAGGCCCTGGCTTCCTGTTCCTTCCTCTTCCACAAGAAGTGAAAATGGAAGGCAACAACTGCCCACTGAAAGTAGTAGATTGCCCATAGACTTTTAGTTGGTAACAATTCTTACCGTTTACTTTGGCGCCAAATTAATCTTTGCTCTGAACCGGGCCTTGTGTCTCCTGTCGAGATCCTGTTCGAGCGACGCCAAGTTCTGCAGTAATTTGTCAGAATTCCCCAGCCCCAGAAGCTGCAGAGAGGCCGCAAACACAGCCCTTCGTTCTGCAGGTCCTTTTAGTTCAACAAGAGACAAAAACCAATGTTAAAACAGTAATAGAAATGACAGATACCAAACCTGATTTCAAAAGGTTATATTGAAGATTTTGCAAGCAATATTACAAGATAACGGTCTGCGAACACAAGTCTCGCTTCGCGCTCAGAAAAAGGAGTGGCCCCGGGGACGTCTTTCACCCTCCTGGTCAGAAGAAAAAGAAAAAGCCCCCGTGCCTCCTCCTGTACATCTTTTATACTGTACACCCAAGGTCACTGACATCACAGATTCGTGGACTCTATGACTTCTTCTGGCCAGCTGCCAAAGCCTGCACCTGCTCTGATAACCACAGTTGTTTTTCTCTTGTCCCCCTCCCATTCTCACACAGACTAACCTTGAACTCACTGCTCTTTGAGATTTACACAAACAAGTGCTAATTTGGCAATAGAAACAATACTAAACTGTTTTTAGTTTTAACTGGTGCAAGAGTTAATATTCCAACATATAACGGCTCCAGAAATTATTGCTTGGATAAAAGGCCGACGCTCTGACTGATGTTTAGTTGACATTTATTTACAACAAAGCCACCTAAAGCACCGTGAAAAACTACGGTGCATAAAAAACATATTGTTAGCAAAATACACACATATTCAACAAACTTACAATAAAACAATATACAATTACCGTGTGCGCCTTCTATCTAGACACTCTGGAGTTGTCAGTACTTTTCGCTGTCCATATCCTTACTTTCGGTTAAGCACAAGGTTACCTTGTCCATCCTTTTCGCCATTCTCTCGCTCTGTCTCTCACGTAATGGCTCCAATGCGCGCATGCGCATATTGCACAGGTAATACAAGTTCACAACTCCACCACAAGAGGTCAGAAGCGACACACAATAAATACACTATTATAAACAGATTATATACAGAATAAAGATACATGTAAACAAAAATGTTCACGGACAGCTACACTCCCATTAATGCATTAGTTCATGAAAATGCATGAATGCATTAGTTCATGGAAGTCATGCATGAACTCATGTACAATTATTATAAAGTGTTACCAATAATGAAAATATAAAATAATAAGATAATATAAAATACAAACCTGGAGGTATAATTGCATGTGGTCAAGGATAAGTCACTTGTGTAGTATGCACTTATACCAGTCAGGAGGTATTACAAATAATAAAAATAATAACAATTAAAGCCGCAAGCGGCATCTAACGGCCCTCGCCGCACCGCGCAAAGGAGGTGGCGCTGACGCGCCATTTTCCTGCAGCCCTGCTGGGAGCGACACTGTGTGTTTTGAACCTATGATTAGTGATTGTGTGTGTCTATTGAAAAGGTAAACTTGATTCTCCCCATGTAACACTTGACTCAGTCTGTAGGGGTGCTGATAATGCTTTTTCACGATTTACACGTTCAGTTTACTCAAACCCAAGAGTTGGACTGTCAAATCAAATTTTGTGCCAATCGGAGTTTTTATGTGCAAATGGTGTTATTTAATGTTGTACAATAGCGCCCCCTACAATTAAAATTTTTTAGTGTTGCACCAATGAACACCAAAATAATACACTTTATGCCTGAAAAAAACTTGTGGCAAAGTTTGGTGAGTTTTTGTATTTTTTCAGTGGGTCAAATATGAGCTCAAACAACACAAAACCTAAATTACTGTATCACCATGTATACCTTTAGTCAGCCTGTAGGGGGCACTAATGGGCCAATGTTATTGTTCCCACTGTCATGTGACCTAGGCCCAGGAGTTGAACAATAGAGTCAAGTTTAGTGCTAATGTGCTTCTGTTTGCCCATACAATCTGTGAGTGTGTCCATACAGTCTCCATCGGATAACATGAGATTTTCACACCTCTCTATGAAAATGACCACACTTTGGGGGTCTGTCACGCGCAGACCGTTTGACTAATTAAAACTCTATATGCAACTATTGATGGTCCATGTGTGGAGACCATGTGGAGCGATTTTCAGACAAATTAGTGAAAGGGCCGAGGCTGGTTTGATGTTTGCGCGAGGTGTACTTTTCAGAGATTTAACGATTTTCTCATAGACACAGACAGGGGAGTGTTGGTCATCGCCACGGCGACAGGGTAAAAAATAATCATATGTTGTCATTGTCTTTTTGAATCCAGATGACAAAACAGAATTATGTTCAAAATTTCAAACATTTTGAAAAAACTAAATTTTATTAGGCCCATGTAAAACTTTGACATAGACTGTAGGGGGCGCTAATTTGTCAATTTCAATATTTCAACTTTGAAATGACCTAGACCCTGGAGCTGAACAATGGATTAAAAATTTTTTGTGCAAATGGGAGCAAATTTACTTTTGTCAAAAATTGGGAAAAAAATCACATTTTGCCGCTCCGCTGCTCGGACAACGTTTAACTGATCCGAATTCTATATTCAATAATAGATGGGACATGGGTTTAGACCATGTGGAGCGATTTTGAGACAAATCGGTGAAGCGGCCGAGGAGGAGATAATTTCCAGCCGACATGTGTGAAAAAGATCAATTTTCATTTTTCCATTTTCCAATTAAATTAATGAGCTTCCTGTTTGTCAGGGGGCAGAGCCATAATAACTTTTTTTTTATGTCTTGACGTGAGGAACATGTGTACCGAATTTCGTGGCTCTACGACAAACTTGACCTTCGACCCCCTCCCATAGGCGCAATGTAAACTGACTTTTGTAGGGGGCGCTATTCTGACATTTTTTTAGTCCCTTAAAAATAAACACCAAAAAAATTAATTTTTCACCGGTTCTGAATTTTGGGCAAAAGTTCACAACTTTTCATCAATGTTCAGGGGGTCAAATTAAGGTTCAAAATAAATAAATAAAATAAATAAATAAATAAACCAAGGAATTTTTTTTTTTTAACTTCGAGCAAAAACAATATAGGTTTCCATAGTAACCTATAATACAAATGATACGTCGTTTTAAAGCGAACGACCAGACGAACGCAACTATTGGGTTCTCGGTGATTGACGAGCGCTGACGCGCTCGTCAATCACCTCGCCATCATGAGGTCACCCACCCCCCCCCATAGGACCCCATTGATTACACTGTGTACTACAGCAGGAGCAAATTCAGTGCCTCCGGCACTGTTTTGTCAGTGTCTGGGCACGCGCCGTCGGGCTTGGGGGACGAATGTCCGGGCTTTGCCCGGACATTCGTCCGTAAGACAGTTGAAGGAACCCCCCTTTAATAGGACTTCAATCATTTCACTGTGTACTACAGCAGGAGCAAAGCCATTCCGTGCCTCCGGCACGGATTTATCAGTGCTTGGGCACGTGCCGTCGCGTGCAGGTCACAAACTTATGACAGGCATTACTCGTTGGAAAAGCAATAGGCCCTTACCCCGGTTGGGGCTCGGGCCTAATAATGGTAATAATACTAATACCAATAATAATAATAATTTCACTCCACATTGAATGGTGATAAACTGCTACGCCATCAACCCCTTCACACACACACACACACACACACACACACACACACACACACACACACACACACACACACACACACACACACACACACACACACACACCAGAATCCTTCTAGGAAATGTAGGTGAAGTGTCTTGCCTAAGGACACAGCGACAGTTTTGCTAAGAACTGCAAAGAAGGCAAAGGGTGTGTGTGTTTATATAAAAACACACACTCAGACTCATTATTTATATATATATATATATATATATATATATATATATATATATATATATATATATATATATATATATAATAATGAAGCTCTTCGCGAAAGTTCACTGTGGTAGACCCGGCCACTGCTGCCAGATCTACAAGCCTGCTCATCCTCTACTCATTACACCAGCAAAACGCCCACATCTAATCCACCAATAACCACCAGGACAGCAAGTTAAAAGCCGGAGACGCCCACTTTCCCGGCCTTCTGAAGTTTGCAAACTTCTGAAGCCTGCAAGGTGCATGTCGCTAACGCACCTGTTCGCAAATG